AATTTTGTGAACCGCTAAATGGTCTGGATAAAAACTCCCAAAAATGTATGTGTTTGTATATTATCTGCGTATTTAACAGATTGAAGCTCATTATTTACTAATTTTTGTTTTTTAAGACGATTAAAACAAAGAAAAATAAAAAAGTTCAGTTATACTTGAAAACAAAATTAAATTAAACTTAAAAATAAAAGTAAACTACAAACAATTGTTAAATGAAAAGTAAAATGAAATCAAAATCAAAATGAATTTCTTATTAAAAATGGAATTAAATGAAAGATAAAATGAAAATTCTTCGTAGCCTATCGCTATTATATAGTAACCTATATAGCTTTGCTGGTTGATAGAAATGACCCGTTTTGACACACGGTTTGACTAATCTTGATGTAATACGCTGTTGCCATTTGCATAATATCCATGCAGTTCAATTTTTTTTATTTAATTAATCAACACAAGGATCGAACACGGAACCTCCAGGTAAGCTCGCTAAGATCTTACTCACTGAGCCATCGTGGCTCCCGCCAAAGATCGAAAAGTGCATTCGAAGGTTGCGCTAAGTGGTAAGGCCCACGTATATGGCTTCCATCGAACATTAAATAATACGGGATTTCACTTACAGCGAAGATTTCATTGATTAATTTAATAAAAGCTAATTGATTAGAAACGATTTGCATGGATATCAGACAAATGACAACAGTGTATTACATCAAGATTTGTCTAACCGTGTGTCAAAATGGGTCATAATTCAATTAGGTTAATTCTACCATGTCGCAAAGCAATATTAGGTACTATGATGGCCATAAGTTAGGGAGAATATTCATTTTACTTTTCGTTTGACTAGATATTAGCTTTCATTTAATTTCATTTTTGTATGAAATTCATCTTGATTTTGATTTGATTTTCAGTTGGTAATTAGGCCTTGAATTAGGTCTTTCTTTAGGCCTTAATAATAATTAATTGTAAATAATTAATTGTACTTACGAAGACCATAATCAGGTTTCGTGAAATACGTTTACGGGTACGGTAAAAATAGGTGATCGAGATTCTATTTATCGAGGCTCGACAGTAATTGAATCTCCGATAACTAGGCTCAGAGTGAAGTAACGTTAGTGAAATTGTCAATATATTCCTGTAGGGAGTAAACTGCCATTGGGGATACTGCATCACACAATGCGTTGACAAGTAGACTAATGAAGATTTAAATGTTAATATAAGTGTTCTTTAATGAAAAGTCTATACAAAATATTATAATGATGAAGATGATATTTATGATGATTAAAGTTGTTTAATGATGTCTAACGTTGTCTAACTATTAACTGAAAAATACAAATATAAATTCTGTCAAAATAACAGTAAATTTCAGCTAATAAACTACCACTGATAAATATTCTAATTACAACTAACACTGGCAGGTAATAAACTGTTCAAGCCACAGGGACAGGTTCAAGATGCAAAGACATGGGAATAAATGGAAAATAGCATACAAAGAATATAATTACATAAATCACTCAACTCTTAATAAGAAGACTAACAGTTCAAAAAGTAATTAAAGGGAGACAACTAGCTTTAAATGATCAGTGTAAACGGAGGCAGACCACCATTAATTTCCCCATTGACTTCAATGTTAATTCTGGCCTCTTTGCCCACCTCCAACTTTTCCCCAAATTTTCGTTGGGCTGAATGCTTTTCACTACAGACAGAGGAACAAATGGTCATGTCTTTGCACTAAAATTTGTATGAGGTTGACCACCAAAATTTTGAGATACACAAACTTGAAGAAGCATACTAAAAACATGTAACTAGTTGCCGTACATATCGCCGTAGCTAACCTGATAACCATCTTATCCTTCCGCCTCAAAATCATGAATATTTACCAAAACCTGGCAGAAAATGTTAATTCAAACCCTCTTCGTCCATTCTAGACCAAAAAATCAACACAAATGGGCATGCAAAAGGGGAGAAAAGAGAGAGAGAGAGAGAGAGAGAATTGCTATAAATAGACGAACTGAGATGATGAAATTTAATGGTGGTCTGCCTCCAAACACTGCTTCCATGCCATGACAAAAATGCAAGAGATGCGACTAACAAGCCTGACATACAATATCAATTAAATATACAAATGATACAAATACCATGTTTTTATGCCCCTATACTCTCTAACACTGGCTGATAATGACAATATACTGACAAAACCATACTGATTGGTACTCGAATGACAACAATATTAACTGACAACCACGAGACCAAAAATGACTGCCAAAGTTACAATTTCATGGTGCGGTTTTCTTTTAGCGGGAAAATAAGAGTCACATGACTCTTTGGGTAATCAAAAAATCATGAATATGATTAATAATAATAATGAGACGAAAAATGAAAAATAATATTAAAATTAAAATAAACAATAAAAATTACTTTTAATGTTTTCTGGCCATAACAATTCCCTTTTCATATTTTTTAAAAACTATTATAGCGAGCACTGCCCAGTTCTGTACCTAATCTAACCCAATGCCCCCTTAGTAGTAATCACCATTCTGCATATAGTTTATGTCGAAATCTGTGGCTGCTAACATATGATAGGAGGGTGAACGTCCAAGGTAACATCTTCAAAAGGAATACAGCTGAAGAATAAAGATTGCCTGCAATCGACGTTGATCTGCGAAGTCAATGTATAGGCCTACCTTTTTGTACTTTTAATAATTAACGACCATGGCGTTGCTTACAACTAACCACCTTTAAACTTGACATACCGGAAGACGAGTTGGTCAGTAGTTTACCGATATTAATGATACAAACAAATGATAGAACATCTCTTCGCCATCATGCACGGAGTCGTGTATGTCCATCTATACATGTCAACCATGTAATATATGTTATAAGCTATATTATAGCTGATCGAGTATAATGTAATACAGAATACTACAGTAAACCCAGTTATTACATGTCAAGTATGTAATCCGTATTATAATAATATATATCAGCTATATATTACAGCTGATCAAGTACAGCCATATAATACATGCTATACTAGTAGATATATATGGAAAGATAACGTTGCCAATATTAGTTCAATGTTCACGGTGCAAAATGCATATGTCAGCAGTTCAAAATACGTATTTTAGTTTTACAATTTGCAATTTCCATGGCTTCACAAAACCATTGTCACAGTATTAAAATACAGAATACACTTGTCAATAATACAAAATACAGTAGAATAGTCATTTTGTATATTACACTTCTCCATTCTGCATTTTGCATAAGAGACAAATGCATACTAGAATTGAGCATATTAGAACATTATTATACCTTATATGGGATCTACGACGATGCTCATTTGCATACGGTAAAAAGTCCGGACTAGGGCGGAAATTACGCAATCGACCTTGTCAGTAAAAGGGAGAGGTAGTCATATTTAGAGACCAATGAAATGAACTTAAATGGGGTTGAACGTTCTACTGTTCTGCTCCGAGTGGGCTAATGAGGATCTTTTACGTACACACCAATGTATATACGGGACCTCGGTTTTTCGTTTCAGCCGAACGACTAGACAACTGTCCTGGTCATGAACTTTCTCGGCCAATTCAGGGATCGAACACACGACCTCCTGGCTAGCGAGCCAACGTCTTACCCACGTAGCCACCGTAGCCAGGCGGGGGTTATGAAGTAAAAATGTGGGGCTTAACGAAGACTCGGGTTAGCCATACCGATCGCATGATTTCATATAAGTCATGGTCATCCATCGAATTCTTTATTGCATGGTGTCTTGATTCCCCACTATTGCTTGGTAAGCCGACTTATGGTATGGTGACTTATTGTATGCCAACTTGTTCTTGTGCTTTCTACTGACGTCGAGCTTAGCCGTCGATCCCACATAAGGTATATGTTATAATTATGCTAAGTTCTATTATGCATTTGTCTATAATGCAGAATGGAGAAGTGTAATGTGCAAAATAACTATTATACAGTATGCTGTATTATTGACAAGTCTATTCTGTATTTTAACACTGTGACATTGGAAATTGGAAATTGTAAAACTAAAATACGTGTTTTGAACTGCTGACATATGCAGTTTGTAAAGTGAACATTGAAATAATATTGGCAACGTTATCCTTCCATAGATATCATCTATGCTACAGCTGATAAGTACTATGTTAGGGTGACCCACGCACCTACAGAAATACAGTCAACCGCTGATAGTTCGAGACTACCACTGAAGCGTGCACATTCGCCGTGTCGAGGCCAACTTTCTGACAGTATGATACTATAAATAGCCATGGCACGTGCAATTCTCTACAAATCTATCAACTATTACAGCCGTAAAAAAATTATTGTTGACGATTTTGAATAGCAGTAAAATTAAGCTTCTTGGTTATTACAGCAGATTTAGAAATTACGTTCGTTTCATTTTTTAAATCGCTTTATCATTAACTGTACCGTTAAGAGCGGCATCTTTTGGTTTAGTACAAATAATATCTCAGAAACACTCGGGTTAGACAGGAACATGATACTAGCAGTAGTTTCATTTTACTTTTACAAGCTTCTTAAAACAATTGTTGAGCTAGCTAACGTGCTCATTTCTAAATTCAATTTCTTGTTCTAGCTTTCTGTTATGTTTCGTAAAAAAGTAGTCTTGATTATCCCGACCTGTCAATCAGCCCTAGAATGGTCGATAGACTGGTTAAGCGAGACTAATTTCAAAACAAGGGCACGTAACCTATCTTTTACTCAAAAGTGTCTGGATGTTATGGACGACACATGGAACCAGTTTTCAGTCTATTATTTATACATGATTAATGGTCATAGCTTATTAAGTACAACATGATCGTTTATTTAGTGACTATAATTGTGTGAAACTGATTTGAGGCTTGGCATATATATAAATATTGTGGCGAAATTGTCGAGATATATGGAGATATTTATTTATGGTGGGTCACCCTAACTATGTAATACATGTTATAATAATATATATATCATCTACATTTCAGCTGACCAAGTACAGTGTAATACTGGATACTACAGTACTTCAATTTCTACATGTCAGCCATGCAATACATGTAATAACGACAAATGTGATCCTGATACTGGTGTTTGTAGTAATGGATGTAAAGGCGGTTATTATGGTGATAAATGTGAAGACCTATGTAGTTATGGGTGTTTAAACAATCAGTGTAATGAAATAGGCGGTAGCTGTACATGTAAAGACGGTTACTATGGTGAAAAATGTCAGCAGATCTGTTCTAGTACATGTTATGATAGCAGATGTGATCGTAATACTGGTGCTTGTAGTAATGGATGTACAGACCGTTATTATGGTGATAAATGTGAAGACCGATGTAGTGATGGGTGTTTCAACAATCAGTGTGATCAGATAGGCGGTAGCTGTATATGTAAGGACGATTATTACGGTGATACATGTCAACAGCCCTGTAGTGCTAACTGTATAAACAGTAATTGTTCCATTACATTTTCATCACCAGAATGTACAGATGGTTGTATTGATGGTTATCAAGATTCTTATTGTCAATCACCATGTCCTGTTAACTGTAAAACATGTCAACAAGATGGATCATCATGTATTGCATGTAATCTAGGATGGTTTGGTACAAACTGTTTTTCATCATGTTCTAGTAACTGTGTCGGAGGATGTGATAAAATGGATGGTAGATGTACTAACTGTATTACAGGACGATATGGCGATAAATGTGAGAGTAAATGTACGAGATGTGATGGTGGATGTAGAAGAGGTAATGGTAGATGCACTGACTGCATTGCAGGAAGATATGGTTATAGATGCGATGAGTACTGTAGTGTCGGATGTGTTGGTGGGTGTAGCCGAAATTTGGGTAAATGTACTAACTGTATTGCAGGAAAGTATGGTTATACGTGTACTAAAAACTGTAGTACAGGATGTGATGGTGGTTGTGGTAGATATTATGGAGAATGCACTAGCTGTATAGAAGGCAGATATGGTAACGGATGTTATCAGAGATGTAGTACAGGATGTGATGGTGGATGTAATAGGAATGTTGGTAGATGTACTAACTGCATTATAGGAAGATATGGTTATACTTGTGAGAAGAACTGTAGTACGGGATGTGATAGTGGATGTGATAGAAATGTTGGTAAATGTATATCTTGTATAAAAGGTAAAACAGGAGACATATGTGATATCAACTGTAATAATAATTGTACGATTTGTAGCCAGGGTAGTGCTGACTCCTGTACTGAATGTAAAGATGGAAGATGGGGATCATCATGTAATAAACTATGTAATATTAACTGTAAACCAGTCGTTGGTAGAACTGTTGATAAATGTAATATAACAAGTGGATTATGTACTGATGGATGTAAAACAGGATTATATGGTATAGATTGTAATAAGGATTGTCGTTCTAACTGTAAAGATGGTTTATGTGATCAGATGACAGGAAATTGTAAAAGTGGATGTTTACCTGGTAAAATAGGATCGAACTGTACAGCAGGTATATTTATTTTTTTTCTTACTTTCATTTTAATATAATTCGTATGATAATGTGGTTTTTAGATTATCTCTACGCATTGCTTATGACATGTTTTACTGTGGTACTAGGAATGTGCTTTTGTTCATAAGGCCAGCTTTTATGCAGCAACGGTTTCTCCCGGTCCGTCCTCCCACTGCCAAACGCACTAGCGAATTATTGAATGGAAATTAAATAGATATTTGTCTTGAAATGTTTTTTGTATGGAAGTTATGAAAAAACCAATTGTTTACTTTGTAATGAAAGTAAATATTGTCTTGTATTAACAGCTTGTGACGCAGGGGGTTTGGATGAAAACCTATAGAAATGTGGTAATAGTGAATATTTGTCTTGTTTTTATAGATTGTGCATCAGGTAGTTATGGTGACAACTGTACCAGTAAATGTGGTAACTGTGCTGATGAAAGACCATGTGATATAATTACTGGTAGTTGTGGACTTGCTGGTTGCGCTGATGGCTTCCAAGGCCCAACTTGCCAGGGTAAGCTACTATTTATTTAGCTAGGTGTTGCTTTGGATGTTTAATAATTATCCACATAGGCAGGGCCCCCCAAAAAATTTATTTTCGGGCAATGAAAAATTCGACGACCTTTTTTTTTCTATTAACGTTTAGAGAAAAAATATAACTAACTTATTTCTATGAGATCCACACTGCCCGAAAAGTATTTTCTCGTCTTTTTCTTGTCCACTGCATGCCCAAAAATATGGCCGAAACTCTCTTATGATATGTATGCCTGAAAAAACGGTATTGATTTTGGGCAATTTTCTCTTATGCCCCCCCCCCCCGAATTACTTTGATCTCCTACGCCTATGATTATCCACAATTTATTTTCTGTCAGTCACTTTTCGAAATACCCTACGTTAATGACAAAAGAAACGCCCTCATCGGTTCCTGCCAGTTATGGACCAAAATAGTAAAGTAATATTATACAATTCGCATAGATAGTTCAAGCATGTGACCATGGTAATTACAAATCCACATTTTATTTACTATTTATATTTTGGGTTTTTAAGTGATTTATATCTTTGAGTTAATATTTTATATCAAGGTATTATTCAGGTGTTGAAAGGGAAAATATTAACATTTGTATGGTGGTTGCAATCTTAGCGACAATGCAGCGGTCCACCACCACCCCAACCCCGCTCCCCCTTTTAATTCCATTGTCGATCAGAAGTTAAACTCATTCCATACCTGTGTTTAAAGAAGACGATTATTGCCATACCAGGGACGAACAAATACCTATATTATTAACCATTTATTTTGCTCTACATTCTAAATGTCGGAAACATTCTTATCCGTACAGTATAAAGTATGGAAGCCTAGTGCGGCCATTTCAAAATCTCTACTTCTCGTCGCGAGAAGTTGAGGGCGAGAACACGAGGGAGCGAGAACACCAGGAAGCGAGAAGTCGAGGGCGAGAAAGCGAGAAGACGAGGAAACAGGGCGAGAATGCGAGGATCTCGCCCCGAGAACACGAGATTATTTTCACCTCGATTTCTCGCTCCCTCGTGTTCTCGCCTTTGAAAATCCTTATGTTCTCGCACTTTCGCCCTCGACTTCTCGCCCCCTCGCCTTTGAAAATCCCCGACTTCTCGCTCCCTCGCGCTTTGAGTTAATCTCGTCCACTCGTGTTCTCGCTCCCTCGCTTCGTCACGATCTCGACTTCTCGTCTTCTAGCCTCGGAAGTGCAGTTTATGCGCATGTCCACTGACTACCGTATCGGCATTTATATTTGGACATGGATTCAAATAGACGGAAATGTTTGAAGTTCTAGAAAATTTAATAGTCCTGAACAATTTTAATTTCTTCTTGCACAGATAGTATTGTATTCTGTAATTAATTTTAAGTCTTCCGTCGAATCTTTCTTTGCTCTCTATCTTCATCAACGTTCATCGGGTTTTTTGATGGGTTGTCTTGTCAGTGCTGTAGGACGGAGATCCTGACAAGGGACAACGTATAGTCGTTCGAATGGGATTTAAAAAAAAAACGAGGTCCCTTGTCCAGAATCAAAATGAAGTTGATTCTACGGTGGCTCAGTGAGTAGGACGTTCGCTCTTTAACTTGATCAAAATTCATCGTGATTTTTCTGGCGATGTCCACCCTTGTCAGTGGTGTAGGACGGAAGGCCTAGGGACAGCATGTCGTTCGGATGACATGAAAAGCTGAGGTCTCGTGTACACATTGGCGTGGTGGTGTGTGGTTTGTGTGTGGGGGTGTGTGTGTGGGGGTGAGGGGGGGGGATCTGTTACTATTCCCCTCTTATATGTGACAAGGTGTAGGGTCGTCTGTCCAACTTTGTGGGTTTTCTCCAGGTCCTCCCCCGCCAAAAACAATGTTAAAGACCCCTACGCGCAAACAAATTATTTCTCCCGAAATTGCTTGAATTGTCGAGTGGATGTTCAACACCATTCACCCCCCCCCCCCGCCCCGCCCCCTCTCTCTCTCTCTCATTTCATTTCGAACGTCAATAAAAACCGACAATAATTGGTACCTTTGTATTAGAAAATAACAATTTAAGACACATTAATATATAATATAAGTACTAGACAAAAATAACCGCATTAAGTCATTACTTTACACGCACTAAAATGTCGCATACTAGACTAAGTGAGCACACAGAAAAGGGTACGTGCATCAAAAAGTATTCAAACCAGCTTTGGTGGCAGCATGCTTAATATACCACAGAATCGTGGGATGAATAAACTACTAGACTGCAAAATTTCAGAAGCCCCCTTTGCTGTTTTGTCGACATATATTCCCATATACATATACATACCAAAAATATGGGAAAATCGGGTTATTTTAGGCTCACCGCGCACATAATAACTTCTAAACTAGCTTTGGTGGCCCATATTCGCCCAGTGCTCAAACTCGCACTGGACCGAAATTCGCCCAAGGCCCAATTCGTTCGTGGCCCAAATTCGCCTGTGGCCAAAATTCGATGGCTTAAACATTCACGTGGTCATGCTTTTTAATTTGATACGAGATATGTAGGGGTGGAGCGCGGTGACGAAGCGTAATTCGCCTGGGGCAAATTCACTGGCCTAAAACATTCATGCTGTGATGCTGGTTAATTTAATACCACATAATGTGTGAGTGAAGCGCGGCGAAGAAGCGTGATGGGCGAAAATACATACAAAATACATACACACACCCATACACTCTTAGATTTTATTTATATTTAGATATCACCGCAAAGTTCTCATGGCCCCGAAGCGTGATGGGCAAACATACATACATACACGGCACGGCACGGCACGGCACGACACGGCACGGCACGGCACGGCACATACATACATACATACATACATACATACATGACCTGGATTCGGGACAAACTTTTGAGGTTTATTAATCAAAGGGTACGTTCAGGCTGCATCAAAGTCTCATAAATAAGCCATGGTGGCAAAATGTTACTTATTTCACAGAATCAACTACTAGACTTCTTTGTTGATTTTTCATAACGGTAAACATATCAAAAATATCCGAAATTAGGGTTAGGGCAGGCTCACCGTACATAATTGTAAAAGTGGATGTTTACCTGGTAAAACAGGATCGAACTGTACAACAGGTATATTGAATTTTTTTTCTATTTTAATATAATTCGTATGATAATATGGTTATTAAATCATGTCTACGCATTGTTTATCCCATGTTTTATTGTGGTGCTAGGATTGTGCTTTTGATCATAAGGCCTGCTTTTATGCGAAAACCTCTGGTTTCTCCTGGTCCGTCCTCCCACTGCCAAACGCACTAGCGAATTATTGAATGAAAATTTACTAAATATTTGTCTTGGAATGTTTTTTGTATGGAAGTTATGAAAAAACCAATTGTTTACTTTGTAATGAAAGTAAATATTGTCTTGTATTAACAGCTTGTGAGGCAGGGGGTTTGGATGAAAACCTATAGAAATGTGGTAATTGTGAATATTTGTCTTGTTTTTATAGATTGTGCATCAGGGAGTTATGGTGACAACTGTACCAGTAAATGTGGCAACTGTGCTGATGAAAGACCATGTGATATAATTACTGGTAGTTGTGGACTTGATGGTTGCGCTGATGGCTTTCAAGGCCCAACTTGCCAGGGTAAGCTACTATTTATTTAGCTAGGTGTTGCTTTGGATGTTTAATAATTATCCACAATTTATTTTCTGTCAGTCACTTTTCGAAATACCCTACGTTAATGACAAAAGAAACGCCCTTATCGGTTCCTGCCGGTTATGGACCAAAATAGTAAAGTAATATTATACAATTCGCATAGATAGTTCAAGCATGTGACCATAGCAATTACAAATCCACATTTTTTTACTATTTATATTTTGGGTTTTTAAGTGATTTATATCTACTTTGAGTTAAATATTTTATATCAAGGTATTATCCTGGTGTTGAAAGGGAAGAAAAACGTTTATTAATAGTTGTATGGTGGTTGCAATCGGGGCGACAATGCAGCGGTCCACCACCACCCCCACCCCTCTCCCCCTTTTAATTCCATTGTCGATCAGAAGTTAAACTCATTCCATACCTGTGTTTAAAGAAGACGATTATTGCCATACCAGGGACGAACAAATACCTATATTATCAACGATTTATTTTGCTCTATATTCTAAATGTCGGAAACATTCTTATCCGTACAGTATAAAGTATGGAAGTCTAGTGCGGCCATTTCAAAATCTCTACTTCTCGTCGCAAGAAGTTGAGGGCGAGAACACAAGGGAGCGAGAAGTCGAGGGCGAGAACACGAGGGAGCGAGCACACCAGGAAGCGAGAAGTCGAGGGCGAGAGTGCGAGAACACGAGGAAACAGGGCGATAATGCGAGGATCTCGTCCCGAGAACACGAGATTATTTTCACCTCGATTTCTCGCTCCCTCGTGTTCTCGCCTTTGAAAATCCTTATGTTCTCGCACTCTCGCCCTCGACTTCTCGCTCCCTCGCCTTTGAAAATCCCCGACTTCTCGCTCCCTCGCTTCGTCACAATCTCGACTTCTCGTCTTCTCGCCTCGGAAGTGCAGTTTATGCGCATGTCCACTGACTACCGTATCGGCATTTATATTTGGACATGGATTCAAATAGACGGAAATGTTTGAAGTTCTAGAAAATTTAATAGTCCTAAACAATTTCAATTTCTTCTTGCACAGATAGTATTGTATTCTGTAATTAATTTTAAGTCTTCCGTCGAATCTTTCTTTGCTCTCTATCTTCATCAACGTTCATCGGGTTTTTTGATAGGTGGTCTTGTCAGTGCTGTAGGACAGAGATCCTGACAAGGGACAACGTATAGTCGTTCGAATGGGATTTAAAAAAAACGAGATCCCTTGAAGTTGATTCTACGGTGGCTCAGTGAGTAGGACGTTTGCTCTCTAACTTCATCAAAATTCATCGTGATTTTTCTGGCGATGTCCACCATTGTCAGTGGTGTAGGACGGAAGGCCTAGGGACAGCATGTCGTTCGGATGACATGAAAAGCTGAGGTCTCGTGTACACATTGGCGTGGTAGTGTGTGGTGTGTGTGTGTGTGGGGGGGGGGGGGGCTTTGTTACGATTCCCCGCTTATATGTGACAAGGTGTAGGGTCGTCTGTCCAATCTTGTGGGTCGTCTGTCCAACCTTGTGGGTTTTCTCCAGCCCCCCCCCCGCCAAAAACAATGTTAAAGATCCCTACGCGCAAACAAATTATTAGTCTCGATATTGCTTGAATTGTCGAGTGGATGTTCAACACCATTCACCCCCCCCCCCCCCGCCCCGCCCCCTCTCTCTCTCTCATTTCATTTCGAACGTCAATAAAAACCGACAATAATTGGTACCTTTGTATTAGAAAATAACAATTTAAGACACATTAATATATAATATAAGTACTAGACAAAAATAACCACATTAAGTCATTACTTTACACGCACTAAAATGTCGCATACTAGACTAAGTGAGCACACAGAAAAGGGTACGTGCATCAAAAAGTATTCAAACCAGCTTTGGTGGCAGCATGCTTAATATACCACAGAATCGTGGGATGAATAAACTACTAGACTGCAAAATTTCAGAAGCCCCCTTTGCTGTTTTGTCGACATATATTCCCATATACATACCAAAAATATGGGAAAATCGGGTTATTTTAGGCTCACTGCGCACATAATAACTTCTAAACTACTAGTAGCTTTGGTGGCCCATATTCGCCCAGTGCTCAAACTCGCACTGGACCGAAATTCGCCCAAGGCCCAATTCGTTCGTGGCCCAAATTCGCCTGTGGCCAAAATTCGATGGCTATGCTTTTTAATTTGATACGAGATATGTAGGGGTGGAGCGCGGCGACGAAGCGTAATTCGCCTGGGGCGAATTCACTGGCCTAAAACATTCATGCTGTGATGCTGGTTAATTTAATACCACATAATGTGTGAGTGAAGCGCGGCGAAGAAGCGTGATGGGCGAAAATGCATACAAAATACATACACACACCCATGCACTCTTAGATTTTATTTATATTTAGATATCACCGCAAAGTTCTCATGGCCCCGAAGCGTGATGGGCAAACATACATCCATCCATCCATACATCCATACATACATACATACATACATGACCTGGATTCGGGACAAACTTTTGAGGTTTATTAATCAAAGGGTACGTTCAGTCTGCATCAAAACCTCATAAATAAGCCATGGTGGCAAAATGTTACTTATTTCACAGAATCAACTACTAGACTTCTTTGTTGATTTTTCATAACGGTAAACATATCAATAATATCCGAAAATAGGGTTAGGGCAGGCTCACCGTACATAATTGTAAAAGTGGATGTTTACCTGGTAAAACAGGATCGAACTGTACAACAGGTTTATTTATTTGTTTTCTATTTTAATATAATTCGTATGATAATATGGTTATTAAATCATGTCTACGCATTGCTTATGCCATGTTTTATTGTGGTACTAGGATTGTGCTTTTGATCATAAGGCCTGCTTTTATGCGAAAACCTCTGGTTTCTCCTGGTCCGTCCTCCCACTGCCAAACGCACTAGCGAATTATTGAATGAAAATTTACTAAATATTTGTCTTGAAATGTTTTTTGTATGGAAGTTAGGAAAAAACCAATTGTTTACTTTGTAATGAAAGTAAATATTGTCTTGTATTAACAGCTTGTGACGCAGGGGGTTTGGATGAAAACCTATAGAAATGTGGTAATTGTGAATATTTGTCTTGTTTTTACAGATTGTGCATCAGGGAGTTATGGTGACAACTGTACCAGTAAATGTGGTAACTGTGTTGATGAAAGACCATGTGATATAATTACTGGTAGTTGTGGACTTGATGGTTGCGCTGATGGCTTTCAAGGCCCAACTTGCCAGGGTAAGCTACTATTTATTTAGCTAGGTGTTGCTTTGGATGTTTAATAATTATCCACAATTTATTTTCTGTCAGTCACTTTTCGAAATACCCTACGTTAATGACAAAAGAAACGCCCTTATCGGTTCCTGCCGGTTATGGACCAAAATAGTAAAGTAATATTATACAGTTCGCATAGATAGTTCAAGCATGTGACCATGGCAATTACAAATCCACATTTTATTTACTATTTATATTTTGGGTTTTTAAGTGATTTATATCTACTTTGAGTTAAATATTTTATATCAAGGTATTATCCTGGTGTTGAAAGGGAAGAAAAACGTTTATTAATATTTGTATGGTGGTTGAAATCGGGGCGACAATGGAGCGGTCCACCACCACCCCCACCCCGCTCCCCTTTTAATTCCATTGTCGATCAGAAGTTAAACTCATTCCATACCCGTGTTTAAAAAAGATGATTATTGCCATACCAGGGACGAACAAATACCTATATTATTAACCATTTATTTTGCTCTATATTCTAAATGTCGGAAACATTCTTATCCGTACAGTATAAAGTATGGAAGCCTAGTGCGGCCATTTCAAAATCTCTACTTCTCGTCGCGAGAAGTTGAGGACGAGAACACAAGGGAGCGAGAAGTCGAGGGCGAGAACACGAGGGAGCGAGAACACCAGGAAGCGAGAAGTCGAGGGCGAGAGTGCGAGAACACGAGGAAACAGGGCGAGAATGCGAGGATCTCGCCCCGAGAACACGAGATTATTTTCACCTCGATTTCTCGCTCCCTCGTGTTCTCGCCTTTGAAAATCCTTATGTTCTCGCACTCTCGCCCTCGACTTCTCGCCCCCTCGCCTTTGAAAATCCCCGACTTCTCGCTCCCTCGCGCTTTGAGTTAATCTCGTCCACTCGTGTTCTCGCTCCCTCGCTTCGTCACGATCTCGACTTCTCGTCTTCTAGCCTCGGAAGTGCAGTTTATGCGCATGTCCACTGACTACCGTATCGGCATTTATATTTGGACATGGATTCAAATAGACGGAAATGTTTGAAGTTCTAGAAAATTTAATATTCCTAAACAATTTTGATTTCTTCTTGCACAGATAGTATTGTATTCTGTAATTAATTTTAAGTCTTCCGTCGAATCTTTCTTTGCTCTCTATCTTCATCAACGTTCATCGGGTTTTTTGATAGGTGGTCTTGTCAGTGCTGTAGGACGGAGATCCTGACAAGGGACAACGTATAGTCGTTCGAATGGGATTTAAAAAAAAAACGAGGTCCCTTGTCCAGAATCAAAATGAAGTTGATTCTACGGTGGCTCAGTGAGTAGGACGTTCGCTCTTTAACTTGATCAAAATTCATCGTGATTTTTCTGGCGATGTCCACCCTTGTCAGTGGTGTAGGACGGAAGGCCTAGGGACAGCATGTCGTTCGGATGACATGAAAAGCTGAGGTCTCGTGTACACATTGGCGTGGTGGTGTGTGGTTTGTGTATGGGTGTGTGTGTGTGTGTGTGAGGGGGGGGGGGCTCTGTTACTATTCCCCTCTTATATGTGACAAGGTGTAGGGTCGTCTGTCCAACTTTGTGGGTTTTCTCCAGGTCCTCCCCCGCCAAAAACAATGTTAAAGACCCCTACGCGCAAACAAATTATTTCTCCCGAAATTGCTTGAATTGTCGAGTGGATGTTCAACACCATTCCCCCCCCCCGCCCCGCCCCCTCTCTCTCTCTCTCATTTCATTTCGAACGTCAATAAAAACCGACAATAATTGGTACCTTTGTATTAGAAAATAACAATTTAAGACACATTATTATATAATATAAGTACTAGACAAAAATAACCGCATTAAGTCATTACTTTACACGCACTAAAATGTCGCATACTAGACTAAGTGAGCACACAGAAAAGGGTACGTGCATCAAAAAGTATTCAAACCAGCTTTGGTGGCAGCATGCTTAATATACCACAGAATCGTGGGATGAATAAACTACTAGACTGCAAAATTTCAGAAGCCTCCTTTGCTGTTTTGTCGACATATATTACCATATACATACCAAAAATATGGGAAAATCGGGTTATTTTAGGCTCACCGCGCACATAATAACTTCTAAACTAGCTTTGGTGGCCCATATTCGCCCAGTGCTCAAACTCGCACTGGACCGAAATTCGCCCAAGGTTCAATTCGTTCGTGGCCCAAATTCGCCTGTGGCCAAAATTCGATGGCTTAAACATTCACGTGGTCATGCTTTTTAATTTGATACGAGATATCTAGGGGTGGAGCGCGGCGACGAAGCGTAATTCGCCTGGGGCGAATTCACTGGCCTAAAACATTCATGCTGTGATGCTGGTTAATTTAATACAACATAATGTGTGAGTGAAGCGCGGCGAAGAAGCGTGATGGGCGAAAATGCATACAAAATACATACACACACCCATGCACTCTTAGATTTTATTTATATTTAGATATCACCGCAAAGTTCTCATGGCCCCGAAGCGTGATGGGCAAACATACATCCATCCATCCATCCATCCATCCATACATACATACATGACCTGGATTCGGGACAAACTTTTGAGGTTTATTAATCAAAGGGTACGTTCAGTCTGCATCAAAACCTCATAAATAAGCCATGGTGGCAAAATGTTATTTATTTCACAGAATCAACTACTAGACTTCTTTGTTGATTTTTCATAACGGTAAACATATCAATAATATCCGAAAATAGGGTTAGGGCAGGCTCAGCGTACATAATTGTAAAAGTGGATGTTTACCTGGTAAAACAGGATCGAACTGTACAACAGGTTTATTTATTTTTTTTCTATTTTAATATAATTCGTATGATAATATGGTTATTAAATCATGTCTACGCATTGCTTATGCCATGTTTTATTGTGGTACTAGGATTGTGCTTTTGATCATAAGGCCTGCTTTTATGCGAAAACCTCCGGTTTCTCCTGGTGCGTCCTCCCACTGCCAAACGCACTAGCGAGTTATTGAATGAAAATTTACTAAATATTTGTCTTAAATGTTTTTTGTATGAAAGTTATGAAAAAACCAATTGTTTACTTTGTAATGAAAGTAAATATTATCTTGTATTAACAGCTTGTGACGCAGGGTGTTTGGATGAAAACCTATAGAAATGTGGTAATTGTGAATATTTGTCTTGTTTTTACAGATTGTGCATCAGGGAGTTATGGTGACAACTGTACCAGTAAATGTGGTAACTGTGTTGATGAAAGACCATGTGATATAATTACTGGTAGTTGTGGACTTGCTGGTTGTGTTGATGGCTTTCAAGGCCCAACTTGCCAGGGTAAACTACTATTTATTTAGCTAGGTGCTGCTTTGGATGTTTAATAATTATCCACAATTTATTTTCTGTCAGTCACTATTCGAAATACCCTACGTTAATGACAAAAGAAACGCCCTTATCGGTTCCTGCCGGTTATGGACCAAAATAGTAAAGTAATATTATACAATTCGCATAGATAGTTCAAGCATGTGACCATGGTAATTACAAATCCACTTTTTATTTACTAATTATATTTTGGGTTTTTAAGTGATTTATATCTACTTTGAGTTAAATATTTTATATCAAGGTGTTGAAAGGGACGAAAAACGTTTATTAATAGTTGTATGGTGGTTGCAATCGGGGCGACAATACAGCGGTCCACCCCCACCCCCTTTTAATTAAATTGTCGATCAGAAGTTAAACTCATTCCATACCCGTGTTTAAAGAACACGAATATTGCCATACCAGGGACGAACAAATACTTATATTATTAACCATTTATTTTGCTCTGTATTCTATATGTCGGAAACATCCTTGTCCGTAAAAGTAAAAACACTAAATTCCAAGATGACCATTTATCGCGGAACGTTCCGAAACGCTGATACATGAAAAGGCGTAAGTTAACGTAAAGTGTCATTACAAATACATAACTGTATGGTGGGCAGTTAATGCCATAATACATTGAATACCAAACACTTAGAATAATAAACCCGAATTATACAATATTATCTTTAATAGAACGTGTACCTGTTTCTACAAGTACCACATTAAGTCCTGTGGTTTCTGCTGTGATTGGTGTTTTATGTGGTCTATTTGGCAGTGTAGTTGTTGTCCTCTCGTATCATTTGTACAAGAAAAGGTAACATTTATTATTCACGTCATAAGGAAATATTTAGTCACCTGCCAAAAGGAAGTGGTGTTTCCAAGGGTTTTGGACCCTGAATTGCTCGCTCAACGCATATTTTCTACACTCATCGAAAATAAAGTCGAACAAACAAAAGCGCTAATTAACCTTCGTTTTGGCCCCGTTGCACCCTAGACATGTACATGTATACCAGTATGCATCTAAATGAGCAGATATGTTTACTCACAGCCTGCGATTTGATAAAATCCCCGGGTAGGCCTTCTGGACCTCAAGCCAAACTTGACTTAGCTCAATCTAGGTCCCCGGACTACCCAAAATCATGAACACGCCCGTTAGTTCATTAATAATAAACTTCGAATTCTTTCCAAAGGTGATATAAAAAACATTGCGGAATAGCACATGGTTGAATTTCATTAGCAGTGAGAGAAAAGCAGGGGACGAGGTTGGACAGGTGATCATAATCCTTATCAAATACAAGCAGGGAATCAAAACCCCGCAAATTGATTTAATGACAGACCTTATGATCCAACGTGCACGCGGCCTGTCCATATTTCAGCGTTCCACAACCATCCGTTCCGGAGATAACCCACTTAGTAGAAAACATTCAAAACGCAATATGGGCTACAGTTTTTAACGAGTGTATGTCCAATTTGCATGGCGTGAGAGGGCCTGCAGTTTCTTTTCAAGTTCGATATCTTAATCATCCGTCGTCCCCCTAGACTTTGCTCAGTAGGGTTTGTCTTTATATTATCAAGATATTTTGCTTACATGTACAGCAATTATCTTATTTGTCTCGGGCCGGGGCGTGACGTGGTCTGGTGACTTAGTGGCATTCTACCTACGCTTTATATCATAAGGTCTGCCATTATTCGTGGTATCGATCTCAAACTTGCAGTGGCAAGAAGGTGACCTGGTCGTGGGTTTCCTCTCACTTCTAAGGATGCCCACGCGCAAGCGAACTTCCCCAATTTGCCAACTGGCCTATTGAAATAAAATTGTTCCATATGCTTGGTCCCGAAATGAGATAGTTTTTGTCGAGTGGACGTTAAACCCCATTCTCTCTTTCTATGGATGAACATTGACAGGGCCAAGTTGTATGATCTGGAACATTTAAACCAAGTTTACAAATTTTCATCTGGAACTTTTTTAATTACGTCCCAAGTATAAGTCACCAACAGGATACAATAATGATATTCTTTATTTCATGTATGAAAGACAAAAGGTCCATTTTACAATTTGTCATCACAATTGTGAGAATAAAAAAGATGAATTCAAATTATCTTAAGTAATGGCTCTAATGATTACAAAAGTGTGACTGTTAGAAGTAATATTATTATAATTGAAAGATACAAATATTTGGAGAAAACTAGTTATATTATTCATTGACCGATAGATAGAATCTGAATATACCCAGTCTGAATTCAATATTATAGACAGGATATACAACCTATATTATAGCAGGATGGAGTATAAATTCTTTACTTGTATGACTTTATTTCAGACGCCAGTCAAGTCCAAGTCCACCAATTGAAGAAATTATTCCCGATTACATTTACACCCCTATTTATTTAAACCCGACTAGTTCTACAACAGATGAAATTATTCCCGATTACATTTACACCTCTACTTATTTAAACCCGATTAGTTCTACAACAGATGAAATTATTCCCGATTACAATTACACCTCTACTTATTTAAACCCGATTAGTTCTACAACAGATGAAATTATTCCCGATTACATTTACACCCCTAGTAATTTAAACCCGACTAGTTCTACAACAGATAATGCATTAGCCACTAGATATCAAAATATTCCTGATTACATTGACTTTCCTAATGATTTAAACCCAACTAGCTCTACAACAACTGATAGATTAACCACTGGACATCAAAATATTCCAACTAATACAAGTAATGTAGTGCATGAAAACCAGTCGTTTAATACAGAAAAAGATACGAACAATACGTATGATACATTAGATGATATAGTAGATGATACGCCTAATACGTATATGTCTATAGAATAGAAATAATACTGTATATGGTACATAAGACATATGTATGGTATATTAGATAACACATTTGATAATACATCTACAGATGTAATCAAACATGTAATAATGTTTGTTTTATATAAGAAATACTTTAATAAAGCATGATATATTGATGTAATAATGTATATTTTATATAAAAAATACTTTAATAAAGCATGCCATATAGATGTAATAATGTATATTTTATATAAGAAATACTTCCATATAAAGCATGCCATATAGATGTAATAATGTTGATTTTATATAATAAATACTTTAGTAAAGCATGATATATTTTATATAAGAAATATTTTAATACAAAGCATGATATAAATGTAATACTGTATATTTTATATAGAAATATTTTAATGAAGCATGATATATATATATAATACTATAGATTTTATATAAAGCATTATACATGTAATACATGTGGAATTGATATAGGAAATATGTACAAAATCCAGCAAAACATTTGATGAATTCCTTCTCTAAACCATTTAGTATAATATATCCTCATATGAATAATTGGTATCAGCGAATCGCACATTGGACGGGTTATGCTTATTCTTTGTAAAACAGTTCATGTCACTGGGTCCAATTTTTTATAATATAGTTTATTAATAATTCAATGTTAAGTATGCGTAATCCTGTACTGTGCAGAATGGTGAAGTGTAATGTGCAAAATAATTTTTATACTGTATTTTGTATTACTGAAAAGTGTATTATATATTTTAACACTAGCCAATGGAATTGTGGAGCAATGGAAATTGCAAATTTGTAAAACTAAAATACGTATTTTGAACTGCTGACATATATGTATACGTGACAACTGAAGTATGGGATGTATAGAGATTACACATTTTTAAACCGGGGATGTATATGCATGTCCTTGACTACTAGACATAATTTATATAAGTATACATATTAATTTAAATAGTTTAACTAGTAATTATTGTATTGTATTTTTATTATCACGCTTTACTTGGTAGTGTATTATTATATTGGTAGTAGATTGATCGAATTAGCCAAATAATATGTATCAGTTTCGTTCTTGTGCAGCAGATATTTCAGGTTGGTCTCAAAGCAGATTTAATTTATTAGCCAGACAGCATGAATAATAATTTGCATGATAAGTTGAGATATTTTATTTAGACTGCTGTGTCGACCAAGGCACGTTTTAGCAAATTGTGTCTTATTTTTGTACTTTTTTTATATTTTTAAAGGATATAATGTATTTTAGATTGTATAACTGTTTATTATAGCATTAACAATAATCTCGCCTTTTTAATACTGTGCTATTTCAATACTTTTATATCTATAGATGAATGTTAACATTATGCTTTATAACATAGTTCATAATAATCAATAAACAATATTTACTCCCTCAAATGTCCAGAAACTCCCCAACAATTATTTTTCTGACATTAGGAGTCCGTGCTGTGACACGTCTTATCTACCTGACTATTCAGTCTTGTAGTAGTGACTGTTTGTTTTAATTTAATGGAAGCAGCTCCTCAATGTAGAAAATAAAACACCATTGTTTTTTTGAATAATGGACAGATGTATCCAAGTCCACAGATGGACTAAGTCTAGTAATTATTTCCCTTTATTTCATGATAAATGTAGTGCGAGTTATTAATAGACAATTTTCCCTTAATTTTTTTCTTCCCTTTTCCTGCATTTTTGGGATGGTTTTTGGGTCTAGAATTGGAGAAAAGGGATCAAATTTGCAATTTCATATCAGTTTTGGGTAATACTGATGATATCACAGCAGAGGATTAGAGGGTGTAAAGTGTCTTTTTGCGGAGCAATCGATGCATTGTGTCGAAAGTGAGATTTTCACCAAAGTCAACATCAAATCCTCGTAGCAAAAAATCTAAATGGTCAACCCCTACAAAATTATGATGAGAAGATTGCCAAATGTGGTCCCCTGTGTGCCTATAAAGATTGGAATCAACGGAATGTTGGCAAAAGCTACATCCTGTGATGTTACAGCCATTTAACATTGAAGTCAATGGGCAAATAATTGCTAGTCTGAGACCAGATTATTAATGGAGTTATTTCCGATTGTCACTAAACCTCGTAAACTGTATTGTTTTGTTTTTTTCTGTGGATTTGTCGGTAATCAGGAATATATCTATGAAAATTTTGTCGCCATTTAAACCTTCTGAAACCGTCAAAGATTAGCCCGTTTAAACAGTTTTAAAATTCTTAAAAGATGTGCACTTTAATATGGAGATATTCGATCTTACATCACAACATACAATTGTTGATAAGTCTTTCCATTGTTGTTTTATAATGTTCAAGGGCGGGTCCAGAGACAGGCGGCGAAGCTACCGAACATTATTATCTTATATCTATATCTAACGAACATTGCAGGATATGAAATCAAACTGTTTAGGTAATGGGCGGAGTGTGGTTGGAATATATAACACGTTCAATTTGAGTAAATGTTTTGTAACCGTATGGTCATGTAAAAACCAAGCTGTAAGTAATCGAGAAACGAATGAACACCCCATAATGCTTGGACCCATGTCGATGCACCGCTATTATAGTGAGAACTGGTAGCGCTTTATCTAATCTCCCACAATTCCCCTTTAAGGAAACTTTTTGTCGATATTTAGAGAAATCAGGGGCATTACAAAAGGAGCGCCAAGTCATAAGAAATTTATTTTTTTGTAAGAAAGTAATTGTATATTTGAAAAACGACATCGATGTCGAAATGAAAAAAAGATGATTTGTATGTTTCTTTTGGACAAATTCCTAGATTTGAACATTATTGGGAAAGATATTTAAAACATAAGCCTCTCCAAAATAAACTAATCTCAGAATTATGGACTAATAACAACGCAGAATGAATTCGAAACGTTGGTCTGTCGGCTGTGAATTTTGTAAACCCACATTGTTTATTGTCATCGCTCCTCTCCTACCGTTATCCTTTACTTCTTGTAAACAACCCATAGCCTACATTTATAATCCAATTCATCATGTTTGTGTATTTTTCGTAAGACATTGAAAGGCCTATGCCATTTCAGAGTTACTGCCCTTTGTCAATTTGCAAAATCGTAAGAACAAAGAATGGACATCAGGCTGTAAAATCCCGTCCTTTCTCGGTCAAGACCGGGATCGAACCTTTCATTTAGCTAGATGACACAAGCCTGTTTATGGTAATAGAGTCAATTTGTAAAAGGAAGATGTCCTACACTTAAAACAAAAAATGAAATGAAATGAAATGGGGTTTAACGTCCTTCTATTTTGCTCCTAAACTGGGCTAATGAAGGCGGGCATACGCCATACAGTGTGCTATAAGGGAAATTTTGCCCGGGCAGCGGCGCTACTGCCTACTCTTATATCGAATTCCAACTGCCAAGGGATCTTTTACGTGCACGCCAATTTGTACACGGGGCCTCGGTTTTTCGTCCCATCCGAACGACTAGACAGCGGTTCTTGTCAGGCCCTCCGTCCTGCACCACTGACAAGGGGAAAACACGCCGGAAAATCTGGATGAACTTTCTCGGCCAATGCAGGGATCGACCACCCGACCTCCCACTTAAAACAAAAGGTACCAACGTTATTGCATCTATGTAGATCAGTGTGAATAAGAATGAATGAAATATTGTTTAATGACACGTCAGCTCCAGCCGGGCTATATTGTGCAAAACATATGGTGATATTTACGAGATACATTAACTGAAATCACAAAATATTAATATACATAAATAAAAAAAGTATCACAGTTATCACTATTAAAATTAAATAATATTAATTTATCTATATCAAATATTTAAAAAATAAAATATCGAAAAACAGTATATATACAAATTAAAACTTTCTGAGTGTTAATAAATCAGCTTCAAATTTAAATAATTGTACAGATCGGCTGACTTTCGATACTGACTGTGACATATACAAATGGGGGCTAGTATTTACGTGGACAAACATGAAGGTCTCGGAATCGATGCCAGTGTTGATCCAGAAGCTTCCTGGAGATTTGTCAAGTGATTTCCTGTGGACAGCTGTGCAAGATGGGGAGCATGGAAAAGAACAGCATCTCGTCAGTCAGATGGAACGAAACACTGTGCACGTTTATGGGCATGTAGAAGATCCCTTTTATATTTTGTATCTTTTTTTTAGAGTTTTAATTAAAAACAATCAGTGTAATCTATTGTTGTTTATTTGGTTATTATACCTTTTTGCTCCATACTAATCCTGAAAAAATCCTGGTTGCTATTGATGGTCCAAAATCGATATTTTGCAGTTACTGCTCAGATTGTCGACCTAGTCGGACAGGGAAAATCTACCAAAATGCCGAGTCGCTTATTAATTGTTATTGTCTAAAGCAAGTAAAATCTGAAAATCATCCATGAAAATGACGGTATTTTATCCATCGGTTGGCTGTGGAATTATTCGCCCACATTTATTCGCTCCTTGTGAACATCTTGTAAACAACCCACAGTCTACATTTATAATCCGAATCATCATGTTGTTTTTTATTTTTGAGATGTTGAAAGGCTGTGGCATTTCAGAGTTATTGCTCTTGATAACTTTGTATAATTTTAAGAACAAATAAAGGCAAACCAGGCTGAATATTCCGACGCCCTTTCACGGTCAACCCCGGAATTGAACCTGGGACCCCCAGGATAGTTAGCTAGATGGCACAAACTTGTTCATAGCATCGACATCAAACAGTAAAAGAAAGACGTGCTTGACAAACAATTGAAATCCAAACATCAAAGAGTTTTACGTATTGAAAGTACTCCATTTCTTCATATCGAAGGGATAAACAATTTTAAATTAAAACATTACATGATCGTCAACAGTCTTCTAGATTTGTGCCCCCCCCCCTCCACCCGAATTGCTATGCCCATCTCAAAATTTCGATAATCACATATTTGCACCCATGAAGATTAGTGTGAATAAATCCGCTTCAAATTTCAATCTTTATACAAATTGGCTGACTCTCAATACTGGCTGTAAAAATCCAGTAACAGAGCGATCTCAAGAAGTCGAACCAATTCTTTGCTTCGCCTTTTTCATTTCTTACCTTCGTGCTTTTTAACTTAATACGTCCACCTTTTCAACTTTAAGTCGTAAATATTCTACTTTCAACGTTGCATGTTAATAAACCAGTGATTGTTATTCCATAAATAGTGTTAGTGTGTTACGAAAATGTCCATATTGGATAAGAATTTTCTCTTTTGGTTTTTATTTTCTACTTTCTACTGCAGATCGCATTTTGAACCTGATATCCCGCATACTTATAGGGTTCCATAGCAAACCATCCATCAAAATGATTATAGTCTATCCATCCTTTTTGTTACGAAACGTTGGTCTGTCAGCTGTGAATTTTGTAAACCCACATTGTTTATTGTCATCGCTCCTCTCCTACCATTATCCTTAACTTCTTGTAAACAACCCACAGCCTACATTTATAATCCAATTCATCATGTTTGTGTATTTTTCGTAAGACATTGAAAGGCCTATGCCATTTCAGAGTTACTGCCCTTTGTCAATTTGCAAAATCGTAAGAACAAAGAATGGAAATCAGGCTGTAAAATCCCGTCCTTTCTCGGTCAAGACCGGGATCGAACCTTTCATTTAGCTAGATGACACACTTAAAACAAAAAAATGAAATGAAATGAAATGGGGTTTAACGTCCTTCTGTTTTGCTCCTAAACTGGGCTAATGAAGGCGGGCATACGCCATACAGTGTGCTATAAGGGAAATTTTGCCCGGGCAGCGGCGCTACTGCCTACTCTTATATCGAATTCCAACTGCCAAGGGATCTTTTACGTGCACGCCAATTTGTACACGGGGCCTCGGTTTTTCGTCCCATCCGAACGACTGGACAGCGGTTCTTGTCAGGCCCTCCGTCCTGCACCACTGACAAGGGGAAAACACGCCGGAAAATCTGGATGAACTTTCTCGGCCAATGCAGGGATCGACCACCCGACCTCCCACTTAAAACAAAAGGTACCAACGTTATTGCATCTATGTAGATCAGTGTGAATAAGAATGAATGAAATATTGTTTAATGACACGTCAGCTCCAGCCGGGCTATATTGTGCAAAACATATGGTGATATTTACGAGACACATTAATTGAAATCACAAAATATTAATATACATAAATAAAAAAAAGTATCACAGTTATCACTATTAAAATTAAATAATATTAATTTATCTATATCAAATATTTAAAAAATAAAATATCGAAAAACAGTATATATACAAATTAAAACTTTATGAGTGTTAATAAATCAGCTTCAAATTTAAATAATTGTACAGATCGGCTGACTTTCGATACTGACTGTGACATATACAAATGGGGGCTAGTATTTACGTGGACAAACATGAAGATCTCGCGATCGATGTCAGTGTTGACCCAGAAGCTTCCTGGGGATTTGTCAAGTGATTTCCTGTGGACAGCTGTGCAAGATGGGGAGCATGGAAAAGAACAGCAACTCGTCAGTCAGATGGAACGAAACACTGTGCACGTTTATGGGCATGTAGGAAATCCCTTGGTAATTAGAAGGGTATATCCTAGCACACCGGATGGTGTATGTCCTAGCACACCGGATGGTGTATGTCCACCGTCAATAGCTCAGTTGATGCATAAAAGTAGCACGTTAAGCCCCATTCTATTTCATTTCAATTTATTTCATTTCAGTCTTACATGCGCTGAGTATTATATCAAGCTATGAGTAAAAGCGCGTCAACATTAGTTGTCTACGGTTACAGTTGGCATGTGACAATAACGTTACGAATAGAAGAAAGGGAAGTTCACGTGATCGGCAAGCAAAGTGTGAATGAAAGCATATTTTTGTATACTGTGGCTTACGTAGCTAAGGGTGTACATTTAGCTGTATATTTAAATACAATTAGGTGAACAGTATTATTTCTTAAAACAATCCATATGGGGGAATTTAACATATTTGAAATAACTTTCTCTAACCCTCTGGGGGTGTTCTATGGTGGCCAACTACTACAAGGTCATGTTACAATGGAATTAAATAATGAAATGAAATTGGGAGGTAAGTTCTGTTTTGTGTGTCGCTATGTTTTGTCGCGTCTTCATTATTCCAGTCGGAGCAGAAGAGTAGGACCTTAAACCACATTTCATTTACTATGTTTTCTCCCGTATATGTGGTGATTTTCAGCAGATTTTTTGCAAGTTCTCCACGAATTAATTCAATGTTCTTTTATATTATTGAAATATTTTATCAGTTTGTTCACAGTAATGAGGTAGTATGTGGTGGTATTTGGTAGGTCTAGCATTGGATAGTATTGAGTAAATCGCCCTGTCCGGTTTTCCGTGTTACACACCAGTCCAGTTTTAGCTCGTTTTGTCCACCGCTAAGATCATATAAGGATGTCGGCAGATGTCCTACAGTCAGAGTGAAATGAAATGAGAGTTAACGTCCCACCGTTCTGCACCGACTGGGCTAATGACGACTGGTATACACTATAATATAATGTTTTGTGAGGGACATCCCGATCGAACACGTCAACTCGATATTAGCAAGTGAACGTCTTACTCACTGAGCCACCGTGACTCCTACTGCAGTGTGGATTTCCCAGCGTGTATAATGCTCGGCAGTTGCAATCAGTATGTAAAGTGGCTGATACCCACAGGCAATGTTCTAGTTGGAACTATTTCAGAATCCCACCTACAGATTTCCCCAAGGTCACGAGATGTAAACAGGGTTAGGGCAAGGGATTGGTGACGATGATTGTGGGTTAGGTCTAGGTCTTGGGTTAATGTTAGCGCTAGCCATATTTACATCTCGTGACCTTAATGGGATTTAACGTCCAGTCGACACAAACTAGGTCATTTCGGGACTAACATAGAGTTGAATTTTATTTCAATAATTCGCTTGCGCGTGGGGGTCTTTAGCAGTGGGAGGAAACCGGAGGACCCGGAGAAAACCCACGAGGTTGGACAGGCGACCCTACTCCTTGCCACGTACAACCAGGGAATCGAAACCACGCCAGTTGACTCAATGACCGACTATATGATACAGCGAGCACACGCTGTAAATGACTTGTCAGAAAAATAAATATAAAGATCATACCAGAACTTATTAGGACGGATCAAGCTTGAATGTTAAACTCAAGTCAGCGCGTTTGTGAAAGCTAAAAAAATATTATTTAGTGTCGATATCCCGGTGACAAAAGACATTTCTGATGGCGATCATACACTTCAGCTAAAAACAGGTCAGTGGTGTAGATTTATATCTGGATGTATGGTTTATTAACTAGTTAATAAATACTTTACGATAATGTCTACAATTTTGATCTAGATCCGTTTTGCATTTTAACAAAGAGCGCCCTATTATTCCACGAAGTCGATGAATAACGATTTATAAATCAGCGAATAAAGTGACACAAACGAAATATAAACCTAAAGTAGTTAGTCTTCGCCGAGTTTATTATTCTATTCTATTGTTAGTCGATTTTATTGTACTGTGCACCTTTTGTCTTTTTTTTTATTAAATAGACCTTGTTCACCGTACATGACACTTATGTAACCCACACAGAATTTCGATATGAATAATATTTCGCCCTGTAACACTTCTTCTACAAACAATATACCCTTTAGTTACTAGATGTCACTGCATTATGGCCCGCTTTTGCTTTTGATAGTTCCAACTAACACCTTAAATTATTAATCCATGGGCCTGCAAGGTGAATACATCCCACACACAGCATATTCATTTGAAGCCCAAGGCATGGGGGGGGGGGGGGATACAATTCTATGACTTGCCGATTTACAATTTAAAATAACCAATATTTAACTACAATGTCAGGTTTTTGATATATGTGCGAAGTTTTAGTACAGAAAAGTAATCTCTTGGCGGGTCAACGAACTAGGTGAATGCCTAATACGCCCACAGTTCACGCCCACATTGTTATACGCATGTACATTACAATTTACATTAGTGTTCAAATAGGAACATTACTATACAATTACATTAAAATTTACATTAATGTTCAATCCTAACATTGTTATACATTTACATTAAAATTTACATTAGTGTTCAGTCGTAACAATAACAGGTCTTTAATCTCATTCTCCAAATTGATTTATATTAAAATAAGGAACTGAAGATATCAACGTTTTACCTTATAAACTTTTAATAAACAAAAATAAAACCATAACGTATTCCTAATACTTTCAGGATTACGGCTGCATTTTGAAGGCGATGCGCGTGTTTATTGGACAGAACAATACACTACAGGAGGTAAACATCCACATACACACACCACACCATATTCATCAAATGAAATATATTTCAGTCATATAGTGGTATTATTTGGCAAAGGTAAGGCCCCAAGTTCACAAAGCATGCCCAGACTTAAGTTGAGAATTTACTCAAACTTGTTCACCTTATTTTAACTAAAATATAGCCCTTTATAATAATTTTATTGTTTGAATGTATCAGATACATCAATAAGAAACTATGTACAAAGTTTTGTATTTCTGCATCAAAGATATTTGTCATAAACAGTGATTGAAAGTTGAGCAAATTCTCAACTTAAGTCTGAGAATGCTTTGTGAACTCGGGGCAAGATGTATGTACACATAGAGTATGCATTTGGTGAGTGAAATGGGGTTGAACAACCTGCTGTTTTTCTCCAACTGAGCAAATGAAAACGGACATACGTCAGTGTTATAACGGACATCTTATTGAATTCCATCTGCCAAGGGGTCTTTTGCGTGCACACCTCGTTTTTTCGTACCACCGGAACGACTATATGTTGCCCCTTGCCAGGTCTTTTATCCTGCACCATTGCCAAGGGTGAACCACGCCAGATAATCTCAATGAACTTTCTCGACAACGCAGGGATAGACCAACGGACCTCCGAGTTAGCGGGACAACGTCGTACTCACTGAGAATCCATGGCTCCCGATTCTTGTAGGAACAAGGGTAAGTTTTATTTGGCAAAAATAAGTTAAACAGTGTAGTAGCGTTTGTAGGAACATCAGGATCAATCATCAGATAGTCAAGTGTGTTAGATTAATGACAATTGTATGTACAATGATCAAAAGATATTTCATAAAAAATTAGAAACCGTGTTTAAATAAAATATAAATGGAGAAAGCGTTTGCTTTTCACTTGAACAAGGTTAAAAGAAAACATCAATTCGCAATTAATTTCATATTCTATAAAATTTATTTCAATTGTTTTATGTTATCAGGTCCGGGACAGACGGGAGAAGATACAGTTTTACAAGCAGGGAGATATGTATATCCATTTAATTTCCAGTTACCCACAGGAATACCATCATCTTATGAAAGTGAAATTGGGCAGGTTCGATACTCGGTGACTGGTGTAATCGATCTTCCCCAGCAGTTTGATTTTACAACGAGACAACCTATTACAGTTATCGAGCCTCTAGATCTTAATCTGGATCCACAGTCTACGGTGAATATAATGTTGTAGATTTTACAGTTGAAACCTCCGATGTATACGGGATAAAGGTCCACATTACGTGGATGAAATTGAATCATCTGTTTAAAACAATATTAATAAATTTGTAATTATCGATAATCCGTGTGTTTTTCAGAAATGTGGTACTGGAAATGACCAAAGAATATTACGGTCTCTGAGTTGTAAGTCGGGACCAATTAGTGCTGTGTTGAGACTCGACAGATTAGGATATGTACCTGGTGAATTCATTCCCATCTTTGGTGAAATAAATAATGGAAGTCGACGAAAAATTAAGAGTGTGTCAACTGACCTCAGGATGGTGAGTCTTGGACAAGATCTTTATGATAATTGGTGGTAGGTTAAAGGGAATTCTCAAGAGAAAGCATTGTGGTGATAGCTTGTATTGGTCGTGTGTATTGGAATACCGATAACCCATATGTTAATTTGGAGAATGGGAGAAATTTAAACAAATATACGCATTTACATAGTTGTAAATGGCTACTTCGCCAATACGGCTTTATTAGGTCAGACCTAGTGGTTTGATATTATAATTTTCGGAATTCATGTGCTCTTTCCGTATCATTTACTTCCAGACCATACAGTATCACGCCACAACCAAGACAAAAATGGTTTGCTATGCGATCTCTAAAATCAGCCATGGCCCCATTCTACCCGGTGATGATGATATTTGGAACGGAGATCTACTGCCTATACCACCGTTACCTCCGTCTGGTTTAGGAGGATGTCGTATTATAGATGTAACTTATACAGTAACGGTAAGATAAATATTCGTTTAATTGTTCTTAGTAACATTAAAATCTGTAATTTATTCTGAATATTGTCATTGAACAAAATCTCTGATAATTGTGCTATGTGTATTTTTTTAGTTAACTGTCGTTCCGTCTGGAATAGCGCCACACCTGGTGGTGCCAATTAATATTTTAATAGGATCGATACCTCTCCAGTCAGTAGCAAGACAGTATGATCCACCACCACCTCGCCGCCTTTCTCCAACGGATACTGCGAACACAGGATCTAGTGATATATCAGTTCAACCTACCATGTCATCAGCGCCTTCGAATATGGATATACGTAAGTAAACCAATATTTAGCGTTTAGAATGATGTATTTTACCAACATTTGCTTACCATACCATTTTGGGATCGTTCTAACCTCGAACCACAAGAGAGTAGTATATCATAATTTCATCACTCCTGGGTCAGAAACCTAAAATTTCTACAGTTCATAGATTATGTAAAATTTGTTATAAAAATTACGGGGCTTGTCCAAGATCGAGTTGCCTAATAACTGTTTTACAGAATATTTGCCTAAGGCACTGAAACTTTTTGTGTAGTTAATGTGGCTTTGACTTCCATTACAGCAGATAACGGCCATTTTATGGCTGAATGGTCTAATGAGCCAATGAGCGTGATTTAGTTTATAAGGTTTGTCATTGACTCATGTGGCGTGGTTTCGGTTCTCGTCTGTCATGACAAAGAGTAGGGGCCTGTCCATCCTCGTGGGGTTTCTCCGGTATCACCGGGTTCCTGACACTGCTAATGAAAGACCCCTACACACAAGCAGATTATTAAAATAAAACTGAACCACGTTAGTCCCGAAATGACCTAGTTTGTGTCGAATGAAGTGAAACACCATTTCTTTCTCCACCTCTCACTCTAAAAGTATTTGAACTTATCTGATGCTTCGTACACTTGGTTTCTTTCATCTTGAAACGAATACAGTCTTGTCCACTTGATAATGTTATATTTCTTTCCTTATAACAAAGCTGATTATGGGCATACAATCGTTGGTTAACAACCTTCAATTGATATTCATTCAATTTTCTTCTCAATACAGTTTGATTCTTTTTTTCACAACCTCAAAATTTGTTTTAAATTTTTCCAGCTCAACCCTCCGATGCTAAATGTGATTCGGGTAAAGTTAATATCCATAAAGAGAATCATAATAAACATATACGTGGAAATATGGACTGTGGTCATGATATTACCTATAATAACTGGAATCAACCCAACGATACTATAATTGTGCCTGTAGTGGAATAAAAAGTGAATTTACTTGACTGAAATATTTAGCATATCCCTTTTTCATTTTCTGTTTTTAACTATTATAGCGAGAACTGCCAGCCCTTTTTCTAATCTTACATAGTACCCCTTTAATATTGTAATTCTTAATTTATCAACACCGGTCACGACAACACCAAGAGGTTTGCCGACCGCTTCCACTAGACCGGCCCACGTCAACGCGTGATAATGTCCCCAAAAGATCCGCGAAATATAGATATTGGTTCGCACGCTATCAGCTTCCCGCACTGCTGCTATGAGGGGTCTAGATGGCTTCACCAGTGCTACCTACGGACTGCCGTCCAGAAGGCCTCAAGTTGGATCAGTTCTGACACAATGTCACGAACAACGGCGTCAGATTCAGAATGAAAATGGTCGAACGCGTGCATTACGGATCTTCATGAACTTCTTGAATCAAAGACCACCCTTTCTTCCTGATTCCCCACCAATCGAGCATCCATTCGGGCTCTCCCTTGGTCCCCATCTAAACCCAGAAATGGATATTGACCTATCAAGTAACTAATCAGCGGACACGTTGCATAGGGCTGTTGCTACTTGCTAGACACACACGTTGCATATTTTGATTTTTACCCTTGTGCAGACGGTTCACTGCCCAATAATTTGTCATGACCTCTGTGGGTTGTTTTCTTCTGTCTGTCAATGTTCAGCGTATAATCAACGAATACTGTATCGGACTAATGCAACTAATTCAATGCCTTAACAGCATATCTTTGATTGTCCTCAATATAAATATAACTACTCGGCTTGAATATCTGATTCGCAGACTTTAAAAACAATAGCATTGGCACTATGTGTTCACATTTAAGTAAAATATTACTTTGTCTAAACAAGGGTTTATTGTGCTATCCCGTCAGATCTATTGTGGTCCTTATACATATATCCAACTCCTAACTTCGGCGCCTGAAGTGCAACATTATACACAGCCAGATAATATACGTCTCATAATACTTATGAACTATAATAGTTGTGAAGATGTCATAACCAGATGCTTTGCTCTGCTGGATAATTCGAATACCAATCACATGCATAATCCTTCCCTGGTGCCTTGTTAAAGTACAATAATGCTGCATAAAGTATACTTTCTAACCACGTGTGTTTAGCAGAGCAGGACTAACCATATTAAAGCATCAGACAAAGGTCTACCCGGTGTTTTGCGCTGAAATACCAACGTACTTTAGATGACAATATGTACAAAATATCATATTAATGTATACTCAGCCAAATTAAAAACTTGACACTGATGAATTTCAACAAGTCAAATCAATTTTAAAGTGTTTCTAACGATAGTAAGTAGTAAGAAGCCTTTAATTTCATAAAATTGTAAAGTCACGTGGATCACGTGACTTTTGACCATATAAAGATGAAAAACCTGAAAAAAACGTGCAAACACAAACTCGTGAGGTCAATCGATGCAAGTTTGCTTAAACTGAACACGCACACGTAACTTGAACTGGAAAAACAAATTAAAATTATTATTTTCATCTTTGTTAGAAAATGCCGCGCCTTTCAAATGTAGAACGTCTACGTGCTAAAGGTAAGCTCTATGCTGGTCAGTCTGTGGTCACTGTTGAGCCTTTAATTGTTCACGCCAGACAATAATTAATCTTAAAATGAGAGTGCTTCAAACTGGAACTATTGCCGACCGCCCAAGGGCGGGAGCGCCACGTGTGACGTCACTCCAGGAAGATCAACCAATACGATTAGGTCATCTTAGAAACAGATTTGCCACTGCAGCCTCCACAAGTAGAGAGATGTTTGGTGGAAGGGTAACTGCAGAAACTGTTCGAAATCGCTTGCAGGCTGCTGGTCTTCGAGCTCCGAGGCCCTATAATGGACCAATATTGACACCTCTTCATCGCCGTAACCGACTTGTGTGCGCCACAACACACATAAGATTTACTCAAAGACAGTGGAATTCGGTTGTCTTTAGTGACGAATCTCGATTCACTTTGAGATTTGCCGATGGCAGGGCCCGAGTGTACCGCAGACGAGGTGAACGTTACGCTCAAGTATGCGTCAGATAAGTTGACCGATTTGGTGGCGGCAGCGTCATGGTTTGGGGTTCTTTTTGTGCACATGGACGTTCTCCTCTTGTTGTTGTCCAAGGGAATTTAAATGCTGTCCAGTACAGGGATCAAATTCTGCAACCTGTTCTTCTTCCGTTTATGCAGAGACATGGGCCTGGACTAACGTTTCAACAAGACAATGCTCGACCCCATACAGCAATTGCTACCCAGAATTTTTTAAGAAATGCCGGTGTCCAAGTCCTGGATTGGCCGTCGCTTAGCCCCGACCTTAATCCTATTGAACACATCTGGGACGAACTGGGTCAAGGTGTTCGTCAGCAAGTGAATCCACCACTGACGTTGCAGGACCTTCAACATGCTCTTGCTGAGCAGTGGCGACGTCTTCCTCGGGTAGTGTTTACTAATGTTCTGAGATCCATGAGAAGACGTTGTGTTGCAGTACGAGACGCTAGAGGAGGCCACAACCGTTACTAAACACTTTATTCCGATTGTTCTCCAAGTCTGTGAATTTCATTTTGGGGGGTACTGTGACATCACGAACGTTATAAATGTCAAGGACTTTCGGTGAGACGTATTCATGCTTTCTGTTGATGTCAAGGTCGTCTGTGCACAACATAACACTAAAATAGTTGCCTTAAACAAAATATTAAAAATCTAGTCCCAAAAATCCCGAGTGTCAAGTTTTTAATTTGGCTGAGTATATATAAATATAGCATAGAATAAGATTGAGTCTAAGTTGTTAATTTATAATTATATATATTTAATTTGGATTGTTATAATTATAGACATTGTGTTTATATTTCCGAAGCTCATACGATTGTTACTAAAGTCAATTAGAGTGCTATGATTATTATTATAATGTAGAATTATGTCTGATAACATTAGCAAATAAGACATCTGTTTGCCTGTGATATAGTATAGTTTATTATTTGTTAATTACACTGATAAGACCTGCGTGCTGACATCTGCCCCTCCCCTTCCACAATCAGTCCACACCTTCACTTGACTGTTAGTGCTACCCGGTTTTAGATACAAGTCCAAGTTTAACGACTTTGTAGATGATGCATATCACCTATACAGCTTTAAACCATTCCAAGGAAAGTAGTAGGCGCATCAGTAAGACCAAAGGGCATTACATACATTCTGATTGTTGTGTCATGAAAAATTTGTTATTACAAAAATATCAGAGAGTTGAAACAACTGCTGAAGCTAGTATGTATCCATAGAGTGACCCCACCCATCTATATTCTGGACAGGGCCCTAATTTTGAAAGTGGCGTAGTTAAGGAAATCTCGCACGATACAATACCACCCCATACGCTTTAAGGTAAAGGAAAGTAAGGACACATTAGTAAGGCCAAAGGGCATCCGTAGGGTATTACTGTCTGTCTTCTTTCTGGGCAGAATCCTAATTTTGAAAGTGGCGCAGTTAAAGGAATCCCGCACGAATCCATACCATCCCATGGGCAATGGGCTTACATAAGCTTTAAAATAACAATAATAATTATGCTGAACAACTGCATTAAACACGTTTTAACTTCTTTCTAATGTTTAGTCGACAGACCAGGTTATTAATAGGTTCTCATTTTTTAAATTCTAATTCCCTTCTTTTTTAATTGTTTTTTTAATCATCAGTACTGTCAATACAATTTTTTATCACATTGTTCAAAATAATATCAAAGAAATGAAAAGCAGAAACGTCAAGTCACGAGAAGTCGTTTAAATTATTGGAGATGTCGGTAGTGTACAACCACTGGGTGTAGCCGGCAAGGAATGTTATCAACAGAATTATAGTTTTCACCAACGCATTTATCCAGACGTATTGTAGGACTAACATATGGTTCATTTTATTTCAATAATTCACTTGTGTGTACGGTTCTTTAGCAGTGGGAGGAAACTGGGGGACCCTGAGAAAACTCACGAGGTTGAAACGCAACCCTTTTCTTGCCTTGTACATTCCCCCATTTTATTTGATTGGTTGGATGGCTCACTAAGATTCAACACTTGCGTCCTGTACTCGGCGACACTTGTGGTGTTATGTATCATGCCAAGATGATGGCAAATAAACTATATATTCTGAACGAGTGTATATAGCAATAATATACATGCAGGACCCCATATTCATTCGCTGGGTTGGTGAAATCTGGAGCTTACCGTGTAGATACCCCCCCCCCCCCCCCACACACACACACACACACCACCCTCCCTGTCCGTCCAATTTAAAAAAAGAAAATTGGAAATTTGGACGGCCGCAAACGCCTTTTCCTGCTAATGTAGCCCGTGAATACAGCAACTTCAAAGTGACCTATAGCCAGATGACTGACTTCGAATTCCAATCAACCATTTATAGTCCACGGAGAAATGAAATGAAATGAAATGGGGTTTAACGTCCTACTGTTCTGTTCCTATACTGGGACGGGCATACGCCATACAGTGTGCTATGAGGGAAATTTTGCCCGGGCAGCGGCACTATCGCCTACCCTTATATCGAATTCCAACTGTCAGCGACTTAGACACGTGATCCCCGAGCTTCAAGGAAGTTGTGTATCAATGAATTTAATTGGCCGTACAGTATAATGGTATGTCCGTATATTTTAACCAATGGATTCACACGAATGAACAAGGAAAGGGGAAGATAATATTATTTGTGAACTAGTTCGGCAGTGTTAATATACTATATAGAGTACAAGAGGCATTTAAACATTGAATCATATAGCGGTCGTAGATAAAGAAACTATGCATAAAAGGTGATATATGCAGCGCTATAGGCTGATTATTAAAAGTTAAATACTCTTTTATAGTAGTTAGACGTGTATTCATCGAACAGAGTCAACGGTGTAATCTACTATAGCGATCAACATGGGCAAATTAAATATTTTTGAAATAACGCTCTCCAACCTACAGGGAGTATTCCTTTCCGGTCAATTAATACAAGGCCACGTTACTGTGGAAGTAAATGCTCAAATTCAAATCAGAGGTAAGTTATGTTGGGTTTTCCCGGTGTATTTTTTAGACGCCAGTCAAACTTTATCCCAGGATCAATGATTAAGTTAATGGCGCGCTAAACAAGGGGTCTGGGGTTCGCCTCCAGTGTTGCCCTAGAACGTTCCTCTGGATTTTTTGGCTGGAGTTTTATGTGTTAAAATTCCATTTGTCAAATGAATAATCATGTACAGTCAACACGTCTTCGCCTCTCCACAAAGTCTCGCTCGCCACACTTTCAGGGCACCGAGAATGCAATGAGATGTACCGTCCTTTTTTTCTGTATCGAATGAGCTAATGAAGACGATTCACGTGGACAGAGTGCCCTCTTATTCTAAACTTGAGAACAAACACTAAGCTAGTTGACCGACATTTTAACTTAAAATCGACGATTTTAGTCGAAAACACCAAATACACTTCGTGTATTTTGAAAATTATTTATTCTGCTTCCTTTTAATGGAATGGAATAGATTTATTTAGTCTTTGTGTGTATGCCAGGTGTTAAACGTAGTAGATCCGCATTACAATACAATATTGTCCCTATTGAGTCCACAATCTGGTACGTGCAGATACGTTCGGATACGTTTCGATACGATCAAAATGATTGCTACGACTGACCACAATATATGATAAGACCTGATAGGATCACCACGATTACTCCACGATTAAAACCACGATTTCAATCGTAGCGCGAATCGTACTAGTGGAAACCTAGCATTAACAGGCCGCTGTGCATACTTTGATTCTTCTTTCACCGTATGTCAGAAGCTAACGCCGTTGCCGTTGGAAACCGTATCCTTAGTGTAGATCTTGTAGGTACTCTGTACAACTTGTGTCTCCTACAACGTCACGTCAGAATATCAAAAGACCTGTGTTCGCTTTCACCCGAGTCCAATCTTAATTACATGATGATCTTATTTATAACCTATGCGAAACACACAAAAAATATAGGATACTTTTATTCTTAAATACCAAGAAATGCGCTGGTATTACAAATTTATTGGTGACGACATCGTATTTACAAATCATTTACAAATCACAGTTGTGAGCCTACTCCATAACTATAAATCATATGAATTCTGTTTAATACACTCAATACCCAAGACTCGTGCACACACAAAGACGCCACCGTGTGAACGCATTTGCTTAGCTTTTGCTTCCGTATCTTTATGAAACAACACTCTTGGTTTTCATATTAATATAAATCCTTGATTTTGTGATGCATTTCTTTATTAATTACATCGTTATACGCCAACATTTTTACGTAGACGTATATTATCGTTGTCCCAGTACGTCTGACACCCTAGAGGCCACAATTTGTATCTGATTTTGACGAAACTTGGCATATAGGTTTATATCCAATAGATCTCGTTCCTTAACTTCATGGATTATGGCCCCTGTTAGTACGAAAAATCGGTTTTAGCGTGTTTTCTGCCCAGCTGTTGCGAAATAAGGATGTGTCTTGCATGATAACGGCTTCTTTTTTATAATATCCACGTATGTCCACATATCTACCATTTTGCTGTTGCGTTTCTGTATAACAAAGAAATATGTAACGTATCCCGACAAACTTGATAAAAAGCCATTCTCAGTATTCTGCGTGTAATTTTTAAGAACAGTACAAAATAATGTAAAATTATACCGGTGTCATGTGTACGCGTTCCTATTTAACAAAATTAATATTAAGATATTTCATGGTTTATAATTGTTCTGCGACAAAATCAGCCCGAATCAATTAATGATTAACCCTTTGAAAAATACTCACAAAAAAAACCTGTCAATCGCCAATATAATATGTAAGTTCAGTGGTTAATATATAAAAGTCTTTTTGAAGTTACGAACACAAAGGCAAATTTATGTATAACGATTATTCTATAAAGTGACCATTGTTATTCCAGATTTGTAAGTATTAAAGTGATATTGTATCGACGAATGTTTCGTTGCAATGCGTCACGTCTATTGTTATTAAGCAAAATGTTTTGTTACGGTGTATAACTGACTCAGTCAACCATCCGACATATTCCATTGTACCAATATGCTATTATATTCTATTATAAGGATGGGCTGCGCGTGATTCTTGTAATAATATTGATACTAATAATTCCCAAAGCGTTACAATTAAGGGGTCTCTCGTCAATTAAAACACACACACACACACATAACACATTCTGTTTCTAATCTGGATAATAGAGTATAAGCAACTGAATGTTTAGTTGTAACTTAAATATTGTGAAATTTGAGATTCTCTAACGTTTACTGGCAACTGAATTCTAAGGCGAGGTGCAGCTACAATGACACCATTATCACCAAATTGTTTTAGTATTGTTTTAGGCACAGCAAGTTATGCGATCTAAGGGCACGTTTAGATTTATATTTAAAAGTTAAGAAAAATGCCAGTGATACACTAATGACAGAACTATATACTGAATCATGTGTTCGACAGGCAACCAGCGAATAGACTTTAACACCGATTTCATGGATGAATATTTTGAAGTATTGTCAGCGATCTTCTGGTTTGTTTGTAATTTATAGTGTCGATGTTATAACCGTCTTTTAATTAGTCTTTACTTCTAAATGTACATCCAAACTACTGTTCCAATTATCTATAAAGATGTAGCTGATACTGGGCTATGGCCTTTGACCATCCGGAAGTATCTATCACCTCGTATCTGCATAATATTCTAAATTTGTTAAACATTGGGTCCATCAAGGAGAATAACCCCACTATCGAACCTAGCCATGGTATCAATGTATTGAAACTGTTGGATGGCCAAGGTTAGCACGTGTGCGTTGTATCATAAGGTCTGTCATTGAGTCAACTGGCGTGGTTTCGATTCCCTGGTTGTACGTGACAAGTAGTAGGATCGCCTGTCCAACCTCCTGGGTTTTCTCCGGGTCCTCCGGTTTCCTCCCACAGCTAGAAACCCCTACGCGCAAGCGAATTATTGAAATAAAATTGAGTCATACCTTAGTCCCGAAATGACTTAGTTTGTGTCGAGTGGACGTTAAACCCCATTTCTCTCTCTTTGATGGTAGGGGGGGTTGGATGGTCGAATGGTTAGCACGTGCGTGCTGTATCATCATAAGGCCTGTTATTGAGTCAACTGGCGTGGTTTCGAATCCCCGGTTGTACGTGACAAGGATTAGGGTCGCCTGCCCAACCTCGTGGGTTTTCTCCGGGTCCTCCGGTTTCCTCACACTGCTAAAGACCCCTACGCGCAAGCAGATTATTGAAATAAAATTCAAACCATATGTTAGTCCCGAAATGACCTAGTTTGTGTCGAGTGAACGTTAAACCCTATTTCTCTCTCTTTCTCTCTCTCTCTCTCTCTCTCTCTCTCTCTCTTTCTTTGATGGTAATTCATCAAGCTCTTTTCGATAGGAAGGCAGATGTTACATAAAGCTGTAACTGTGACTTATGTCGACTATTATAAATGCTACAATTTGAAGACAATATGCTAAATGGTATCTGATAAAGGTGATTTTTAATCCCCTTGGGGTTTAGACATAAAGCTGCAACTGTGACTTATGTCGACTATTATAAATGCTACATGTGTGAAGACAATATGCTAAATGGTATCTGATAAAGGTGATTTTTAATCCCCTTGGGGTTTAGACATAAAGCTGCAACTGTGACTTATGTCGACTATTATAAATGCTACATGTGTGAAGACAATATGCTAAATGGTATCTGATAAAGGTGTTTTTTAATCCCCTTGGGGTTTAGACGTAGTCATGTAACAACTTAATATGCACATATTTGAGATATCACTTCTGTGGAAGCGGGTGTTATATATATAGCTGTTTCTCACACCCAAAATTAGTTACATGTAGAATTTGTTTCCTCCCTGAACATGTAACTCGCTTTTGCATCACAGTTATTAATTTGCAAATCTAGTGTTTCCCTAATCTCAGTTAAGATTTAAGTATCCCCCGCTTTGCTAAACACATTTATTTGAGGTCAAAAGCTATAATTGTTAGTATTATATAAGGCCAAACATAGTTACGCTAGCACCTACCCTATTGCTGACCACATTCTGTGTTTTGCCAAGAACCTTCGCTGTACAATTAGTAACTTAACTACTGTTTGATATTTCAAAACTAAACTTTAATCTTAATCATATAGCCCTTTTGACAATTCATTTTACGAAACACACCATTTGTGACCGAAATTATCTTCTTTAATTCAACAAAAAAATATTTAATCATACCGTCTTCGTCTTACTTTCAGGAATAAGACTACATTTTGAAGGCGGTGCACACGTTCACTGGACAGAACAACACAGAACAGGTAGCAGTAAAAATAGAAGAACAGTCACTAGACACTATTCATCCAGTGAGACATACTTCGATCATATATTGGTCTTATTTGGCAAAGGTAAGTTACACAGTGAGGATATGTTTGATTGGTATTTTTAATGCAGACCGACAAAGCTTGTTAATTAAGTTTTAATGATCATTTCTGGAAAGTCTCAAATAAATTAGAAAATTTATTGAGATGGAGTGTAGCTGGGTAATACTACACCCTCCTTCCTTCCTCCACAACTGACAATGTAAAACCACATCGGAAAATCTTGATGACGCGTACCAAAGTCTTGCACTGACTCACCAAGCCATCGTTGCTCCCAAGCGGCTATTAATATTTGATTATCATATGAAAGTAAACTTTTATTAATTATGTCTTTCAGTAATTCATATTAAAGAATATCATATTTCACACATAATTTCGTATCATTTAATATTATTAGTGCTAAAGTTAAGGAAGATCATTACACCATAATGCGTTTGCATCATTTATTTCACATGTAATTCAGTATACTGATTTATATTATCAGGTCCAGGACAGCCGGGAGACGACCCAATTTTACAAGCAGGGAGATATACATATCCATTTAGTTTCCAGTTGCCCACAGGAATACCATCATCTTATGAAAGTCATACAGGGCGGGTTCGATACTCAGTGACTGGTGTAATCGATCGTCCCTGGAAGTTTGATCATACAACGATACGACCCTTTGCAATTGTCTATCCTCTAGATCTTAATTTAGAACAGCAGGCCACGGTAAAAAATATATGTAGAATTTTACAGTTGTCAGTCCTCTAGACACAAATCTCAAGCCACTGTAAATATATCGCAGCATTTAACAGTTGTCAATCCAATAAATGTTAACATAAGGTCCAATTGGATCATGGTAATAATAATATCGATCCATCAGACATAATCTTTAATTGTATGTAGCCCTTTACAGTTGCCAGTCCACTAAATGTTAAACAATGAACCCTTGATGATTGTAAATGTCATCAGAAATGGCTTTTTGCATTCGATAAATTTGTATTATCAGTAATCCATGTGTTTTGCAGCTAGGTGCCATAGGGACTGATCAGAAGACGTTATGCTGTCTGTGTTGTGAATCCGGACCAATTAGCGCTGTGTTGAGACTTGATAGATTAGGTTTTGTACCTGGTGAGGGCATTCCAATCAGTGGTGAAATAAATAATGGTAGTCGACGAAAAATGGACAGTTCCTTCGCTGACATTAAAATGGTGAGTCTGGGCCAAGAGCTTTATTTACAAAAATCTGATGTTGAAATAGCAGTTATCAGTGTGGGAGTCCAGAGAAAGAGATGTGCTGGTTGGGGTTTAAATATGTCTGTGCATATATACGTATACAGAGTTGTAAGGGTTTACTCCCCATCGCCCTCCATAAGGTCACTCTTAGTGAGGTGATATTTTCAAACGTACGGGATTTATGTGTTATATCCCTTTAAAACACAGATGTGACGTTATCCTTTGACGTTGGCGTATTATTATTTCCAGTAATGTACGGGCAACTTGCCAGTCGTACATTATCTGTAGTAGATGAAACATTAGATTCGCGTGACGTATTTCACTGAAAAGCACGTGCTGGATAGTGTCTGTATTTTAAGTTGTTTAATGGTCTCGAGCTAAAAACATTGCGTAACATATTGAAACAACACTCGGCAAACGCCTCGTGAAGTATCAATATATTACTATGTCTCGCTCTCGACCAATAAACCATACATACATAATTTATTTCCAGACCGTCAATTATCACTCTAGAACCAAGACAAGAACACTTACTGATACTGTATCTACAATCTGTCATGGCCCCATCCTACGGGGTGATAGTGATACTTGGAACGGAGATCTACTGCCCATACCACCGTTACCTCCTTCTGGTTTACGAGGATGCCGAATTATGGATATAACATATACAGTGACGGTAGGATAATTATGATGCTTCACTTTTCTTTCTTTATGGTTCAAAATTTTCGAGTATCGGTTGTAACTTATTTAAAATTATATTTATTGAGCAAACTATCTGACTGTAAATCTGCTCTTCACCATGATATATGCACCATGTCGTGAGTAGTAAGGGCGATACGAAACCAGCGGCTGCCAGGCAGGATACGCCCACATTTTCGAGAGATGGATAGAGAACAAGCTGAAAACGCGATTTTTCGTACAATCAGGGGCCATAATTCAGGAAGTTATGGTCCGATATGCGCGAATATCGAAAGGAACCGAGATCTGTGGGTTATAAACTTTCATTTCAAGTTTCAACAAAATCGGATTAACATTGTCACCTCTATAGGGTCCACAACCTTTATATACCATATTTTTACGCTATTTGAGAACGAAGGGCGGCCATTTTGTCTGTCAGTTTTGGGCCGATTTTCACGAAATTCGAACTCAGCCGTCCTTAGGGTGTAACGGTGATATAATAATAAGTTTTTTTTAAATCGGATAAAAAGTATGACCTCTATAGGGTCCACAAGCTAAAAACGCGATTTTTCGTACAATCAGTGGCCATAATGCAGGAAGTTAAGGTCTGATATGCGTGAATATCGAAAGGAATCGATATCTTTGGGTTATAAGCTTACATTTCAAGTTTCACCAAAATCGGATAAAAATTGTGACCTCTATAGGGTCCACAACTTTGATATACCATATTTTTACGCTATTTGAGAACGAACGGCGGCCATTTTGTCTGTCAATTTTGGGCCGATTTTCACGAAATTCGAACTCAGCCGTCCTTAGGGTGTAACGGTGATATAATAATAAGTTTTTTTGAAATCGGATAAAAATTATGACCTCTATAGGGTCCACAAGCTAAAAACGCGATTTTTCGTACAATCAGCGGCCATAATTCAGGAAGTTATGGTCTGATATGCGTGAATATCGAAAGGAACCGATATCTTTGGGTTATAAGCTTACATTTCAAGCTTCACCAAAATCGGATAAAAATTGTGACCTCTATAGGGTCCACAACTTTGATAGAGGGCCTACCATATTTTTACGCTATTTGAGAACGAACGGTGGCCATTTTGTCTGTCAATTTTGGCCGATTTTCACGAAATTCGAACTCAGTCGTCCTTAGGGTGTAACGGTGATATAATAATACGTTTTTTTTAAAATCGGATAAAAATTATGACCTCTATAGGTCCACAAGCTAAAAACGCGATTTTTCGTACAATCAGGGGCCATAATTCAGGAAGTTACGGTCCGATATGCGTGAATATCGAAAGGAACCGAGATCTTTGGGTTATAAACTTACATCCGATACATGCCAATATCGAAAGCAGCCGAGATCTTTTGGAGATAAACCTATATTTCAAGTTTCGTCAAAATCGGATAAGAATTGTGACCTGTAGAGTGTCCACAAACAAATTGTGGATGGACGGACAGGGGCGACGACAATATACGTCCACATGAAAATGTGGGCGTATAAAAACTGTTATTAAGAAAGCATGAAGTGTGTGTGTGGGGGGGGGGGCGCATCAATTGATTCTCGATGCACGGTGTTTATGATTTTGAATTCAAGGGTTTTAGAAAGGAACGCAAGTGGACAAAGAATTGCTCCTTGGGTTAATCTAACTGTTCGTTTACTTTTTCGTGATTCTGAATTCTGATTTTTGCTTTTTATTTTCAGTTAAATGTTGTTCCGTCCGGTTTAGCTTTTGACTTGGTGGTGCCAATTCATATTTTAATTGGTTCTATACCTCTCCAGTCAGTAGCACGACAACATGGTCCACCACCACCTCTACCTCTACCACCCACAGATTATTCAAGCACAGGGTCTAATACCACACCAATGCAACCTACCATGCCATCGGCACCTTCCAATATGGGAATGCGTAAGTAAACTTAGATTTAGTATTTAGAATGATGTATTGTTGAATCAGGAACTTGGCGTCGTGCGATACCCACCTTGTTCTTTTGTACAAAGGTTGAGGTGCGCCAATTTAACTACCACCGACATGCAATTTGGCATGCGTGTTCCTTTGACAAATCAGCAGAACGTTAAACTCCATTTTATTTTTATTTCTCCCTTGACAAATGTGCATCGAATGACGGATTTTGATTTTTGAAAATGACGCTATAATTCCAACATGACCGCGATGGTGTTAAACACGGTTCCTAGTCCACCCGTACCTTAAACACTTACCAAATACGACAATGGGAAAATCTGCCTGGCTATTTTGATTTAACTCGGCTTTATCGCCGGCATAAATTAGGTTTAACACCGCGAAAGCTACATTTCAGCAAGATCAAATTGCTCATTAGGCTCTGGCTTGTTTTGATAAAAGAGGGATAATCTATTACAGATCGGTGCTGACCATTACAGTTCTGCGTTTGGCTTTAATCTTCATATCAACTCTTCTCCGTTGTACCGAACGTTTTCTAACAGATGTCTGGCCAAATGTATTTATGATTTGATCAACAACTGACATGAGGTTGACCCCAGACTATGGGGAAAACAGGGCTACATCGGATTTATGTGGATTTAGCTCCCGATCTACGCACTAGAACAAATGAAATGGACTTGTGCGAACTCTATCACAATTCAGAGTCGCGCTTCAATATTTGACAGATTTATTAACTCTGTATGTAACTAAAACGTTAATATTTTACAATTCCTAGATTCTTTAAAAAATTTTTTAGAAATAGTTTGCTAGGATTGTTCAAGATCTAGTTGCAGGTATTTGTTCATAGAGTATTTACCCGTGACTTTCAATCGTTTTGGATCACGTGGCTAAGACGCTGGCTCGCTAGCCTGGAGGTCGGGTGTTCGATCCCTGCATTGGCCGAGAAAGTTCATCCAGATTTTTCGGCGTGGTTCTCCCTTGTCAGTGATACAGGACGGAGGGGCTGACAAGAAAAGCTGTCTAGTCGTTCGGATGGGACGAAAAACCGAGGTCCCGTGTACACATTGGCGTGCACGTAAAAGATCCCTTGGCAGTTGGAATTCGATATAAGAGTAGGCCGTAGTGCCGCTGTCCGGGCAAAATTTCCCTCATAGCACACTGTATGGCGTATGCCCGTCTTCATTAGCCCAGGTTAGGAGCAGAAAAGTAGGACGTTAAACTCCATTTCATTTCATTTCACGTTTTTGTGATTGTAGTTTTAGTGAATGTAGTTATACAAAACAACCAACCATGGTGAACTTTACTTCCTTCACAGAGCTGCTATTATAGTGCGCGTATATTGGTTGACTGACAAGTTTATATTTATATAGTGTTTGAGAATACTTCAATTTTGATCTTTTGCTACACCGTTTTTGTTTTCCATTTTTATAGCTTCACCAGCGTATTATCATCGGAATCAACATGACAGTGGTCCAATAGTGCCCGTAGCCGAATAATTAACCAGTGGCTGTATCTGAACAATAATAAAACAATCTTTGAAACATTTTATCCAAATGGAGTAGCAGTAGTAGTAGTAGTAGTTTATTAACGTCTCACCAGTTATAAATACATCACATTCAAAAGTTATAATATACTAAGAATTAAAAGAAACTGCCATTCATTAAGAATTATGAGAGACGAGATGTACATTATATAGACACAAATAAATAGGCATAGTAAAATACAAATAACAGAAAAACACACATACAATGTGAATTTTAAAATTTACATCTACACTAGGCTAAAAATAGGAACCCAATCACGAACATGGGTATAAAGTTTGCCTCCGTCTTTTTAAAATATCGCAGCAGGTTTTGGCACTCAACTTAACTACTTCGTCACTGGACAGAATAAAAGACATTTTATCAGAGCTATTAAAAGACGCAAAGTTTGGACACACATCCTGTATAAAAGTGAATAAAACATTCCTAAAATCGCTATATAAATCGCATTCTAAAAGACAATGTTCTTCATTTTCGACTTTATCTGTACAATAAAAACAAAGACGGCTCTCAACGGGGATTCCTTCATATCGCCCAGTTTCTAGACGGAGCGGAGCTACTCCACATCTAAATTTCGCCAGAGCACTGCGATGGGAGGGAATAATATTGTCCGTTACATATTTCTCAGGTCCATACACAAACTTAAACAAACGATAAGACCGGAGCTTATTATGACCTTGGCCGGCTTTAGCACTAACATGGGTTACATCATTGAACCATTTTTCTAAAGACAAATGGGAGTTTCTTTCGAAAACGTCACAAACAAGTTTTCGGGTATTTACATGACTATTCATATCTATATTGATATCTAGTTTCTTTAAATGATTCTTAACTCTAAAATTCCAGTTTTTGGTTCTTTTTGCCTTTAAATTACTCCAGTTAAAACAATCTTAGTTACTCGACTATCCGTCAAATTGCATAATCTACCGTAGTGTCTGATCACACTATCCCATTGGCGAACATGTATAGGCACCCACCCCATGTCCCCGTTAACAGCAGCATGGATGTATTAAAATTAGTTGCTATGATATAATGAGTACTGAACGGATTGTAGGCCTAAGCATTGGTTCAGGTCATGGCTTGTGGTCTGCCAAGACCGTGTAGCAATGAACTCTACTAGTGTACGCAAACGGTGTGGTCTAGCGATTTCGCCAGTAACGATTGGCATAGTGAGAGGAGGAAGATGGTCAAATATTACGTCGATACAGTGGCCATTGGGATTACATCTAACTGTTACCGGCTTGCAGTCCCATGAAAAGCATGCTGTTCTAGGGCGTTCCTCTGTGCATATGCCATATGCCTATGTCTGCATACCCGTGCTCTACCACCCTTTATGATGAATGTGTGTATTTCTGATGTTACTGGATAAAATAGCCTATTTCGCTGATTATAGTCATTATGTTCGTGGAAGTATTTCTGATTTTACTGGATAAAAGAGTATATTTTACATATTATATGTATTATGTACATGTAGATATTCACAATGATATTGAAGTAATTTATTTATTTAGTGTAAAAGGGGGTGTCCATACCGCCATTCATCCACCCGAAAATTTTTATTTTTTGAAATTTACCAAATAAGTTTTAATTTTCGCTTTCAGTGTTAATTGATGATGTCCATAATTATGTATATATTTTACTATGCTGTGGTTAAGTCCGATTCACTATTATCATATTTCTGTATTTTAAATAATTTGTTATTATTTGTTACATTTATGTACATAATTTATATTTTTGCAATAAAATTTGTAGTTTTTATACATGCTTAAACTATATTCCGACGACTGGGCATCTCTCCTATCCGAAATCGATTTGCTTTACTTGTGTTAATAGTTTAGAGGCATAAATCCTCTCTTAGGATTTAACAGACACATTAATTATCACCCTATTACGATATTACACATTAAAATTAACTTGGAAGTAAGTCGTTAACCAGTCATCAGGTTACAAACCGACATTCAATAACGGCCTTAATCCTATCTATTTTTTGTATTCATTGTTCGTATTGTTAAAGCGAGAATTTCAAATTTTCTAAGAAATTCAAAACATAATTATTTCTATGTCTTTTGCTCAATAGGTTATCAAATCACTATTATACGATCATGGACATTATTTCCCAACCTTAAAAATCTATGACACAGGAAATAACAACACAATTACCTCCCCTGTTTTGCTATTGACAGGGGACACGGTGGCTAAGTGGGTAAGACGCTGGCTCGCTAGCCTGGAGGTCGGGTGTTCGATCCCTGCATTGGCCGAGAAAGTTCATCCAGATTTTCCGGCGTGGTTCCCCCTTGTCAGTGATGCAGGACAGAGGGCCTGACAAGGACAGCTGTCTAGTCGTTCGGATGGGACGAAAAACCGAGGTCCCGTGTACACATTGGCGTGCACGTAAAAGATCCCTTGACAGTTGGAATTCGATATAAGAGTAGGCCGTAGTGCCGCTGTCCGGGCAAAATTTCCCTCATAGCACACTGTATGGTGTATGTTCGTCTTCATTAGCCCAGTTCGGAGCAAAACAGTAGGACGTTAAACCCCATTTCATTTCATTTCATTTCATTGCTATTGACAACATGGGGCAGCCATTTTCCAACGTTGGAATTTGAAGTTAAAAATGATATTTTTGCCAATTTCTCAGCTGGCAATAGCGAATTATAGGATTAATAGGATTATTCTTTAACAAGGTAGGACTGTTTATGGATACCATCTATTTTAAGGCTTTATTTTAATACATTTTAAAAATATAACTTGAAAATTTGCAATTGCAACTTTAAATAATTTGACTTCTGACCTTTAATTACATGTGACCTTTAATTACAACATCTATTATCTAATTGTCTTTAAAGAAGAGGAAGAAGAAGAATTGTTTTATTTATGCGTCACACATTGTTTAATAGCAATAAAAATACGATTTTTAAAAAAAAGAATACAATGTGTACAATGTTCGGCCTTTAAGGCCTACGAGAAACAAAAAACATTATAAATCGTCTACATTCGAAAATAATAGATAAATACATGTAAGTAACAAAGATAAAAAAAATTAAAAATTTGAAACGTACTAACAATAACATTTTACTATTACATTTTCTTTAATATGTTAGCAATCAAGATATAAATCGTTTAAAATAAGCAAATAAGAAAACAATAAGTAATTAAAAACAAATAGGCATATAAAATAGTAATCGAAATGCCATCATATGTTAAAATATTTTCTATGATAAAACATTTTTTTAACAGTGGCAGCTAGGATTTTTACAAGGTGCGAATTGATCATTAGGGAATGGTGAGTTGGTGCCAGTGTTAGAAAATTTGGGTTTATGGTGGCTGCGGCGTTCCATAACAATTTAACAAATTGGTACATTGATGGCAGTCACTCGTTAAAGGACAATAATGGTGCCAGTCATTATCACATATGTGATAGGGCTGGTTAAACACATTCCAAATATAATTTTAACACAGAGATCATTGCTACGATAGCTGAGTAATACAGGTTTCCTGAATCGGAAGTAACGAACGCCAAAGGAAAACACTAGTCATCTCTCTATATAACTGACTGACGTGACGAGTGATAACAGATACACGGCCGAATTTCTGCTCACTATTAATTCCTTAGAAGACCAAAAGTTGTTATATGGGACTGTAAGAGGATACCTGACAATTCAATAAAGTAATTAAATGTCATTAGATAAGAGAACACGAGAAAAATAGAAATAGTCCGCACATTCCCTTGTTTATATTCATTCTATACCTTATAAAAACATGGTAATGCACGGACTTTTTTCTGTTTTCCTTTCGTGTTCACTTATCTAGTGGTAGTCAATTCTTTTTATGAATTGTCAGATATCCTCTCACAATCTCACACAACAACTTTTGGTCTTCGAAGGAATTATTAGTGAGCAGAAATTCGCCCGTATATCCGTTGTCACTTGTCACATCAGTCAGTTGTATAGAGAGATGACTCGTGTTTTCCTTTGGCGTTCGTCACTTCCGATTCAGGAAACCTGTATTACTCAGCTATCGTAGCAATGATCTCTGTGTTAAAATTATATTTGGAATGTGTTTAACCAGCTCTATCACATATGTGATAATGACTGGCACCAATATTGTCCTTTAAGCTATCTATTCCTTACAATAGCTGGCTTGTCAGTACTGTATGTCAATATATGTATATTAATGATTAAAGAATCATTTTAAATCTGTTATATCCGAACAGAGGATTGATACCTCTAAAATATTTTTTTTAAATTTTTACCGTAAAGGGGTCGTGGCTAAACTCAATATTTGGGGAAAAAAAGTTCTCACGATGCTATGCAAACACAATTAGGACTTTTAGTGATTTGTGAATGATCTACCATTTGCAATGACAATGGGGATACAAAAAAAAAATAACATTTATGGTGTTTCTGGACACCTTAAGGATATAATCATAAACAAGCATAATGTCAACAAAGTTCAGCTATGAATATACAATGATTGATTATTATAAATAATGTTATAGAATATTATACAATGTCAAAAAGTATTCATCTATAATGTCACTTGACTCAATGACAGACTTTATGGTTTAACTCGTGCACTAACCCACCGCCCCCTACATTATAGTTGGATTTATCTATAAATCAACAAATATTGAGTTTTATTAATAATGTTATAAACATAATATAGCACAATATTAACAAAGTATCCATATATCAATTAACAAATATTGAGTTTTATTAGTAATGTTATAAACATAATATAGCACAATATTAACAAAGTATCCATATATCAATTAACAAATATTGAGTTTTATTAGTAATGTTATAAACATAATATAGCACAAGATTAACAAAATATTCATCTATCTAAGGTGGCTACGGAAGCGTATAGGGGTCATGCAAAATTTTGTAGAAGGTCTCGAGATCCTGCCATCCTGTGATACTTTCTCGAAATCCCGTGATCACCTGGTAATTTTCTCGAGATCTCAATTTAATGTTCTCGAAATCCCCTGATAATTTTCCTGAGATACTGACATTCTGTGTAAATTTTCTCGAGAATTCGAGTTCATTTCCTCGAGATATTGACATCCTATGTAAATTTTCTCGAGATCCCGAGTTAATATGAAACCTTATATGATAGTGTCTCCACGTTGTGAAGCAAACATTGTCCCAATACTTCGCACCAAATTTGATAAAAAAAAATACTCTAACATTTGTTACAAAGGAAAACTGCTAACTAATGAAAGAATATATGGACAATCGATAGGACACCCATGATTTACACTAAATTTGAAATATGATTAAAATCGATTGGGTTCATCGTCTTATGGCCCCAATACTTTACACCAAATATGAAATTCAAAACCCTACCACGTTAGCTTTAATGTGTAAAGCTTTGAATTACAGACTTGCTTGTGAAATTATTTCAATTTAATGTTTAGGCGACGTTTAATAGAAACTGTCATGTTTTGCATGGTTTTTAGACCATATTTTGTCTTAGAATAAAGCTAGACACAGAGTTTATTGTCTTGTGGCACAAATGCTTCGGAGCTGGTTTTAAATCAAAAATCTTGAAAAACTCTGGGCTCTAACGCGTTCACAGGGTTTACCGGAAAATAGGAATAACGCCACAACAAAACGCCTGGGATCGCTGCAAATCAATAAGGTTCATTGTTCCGCCGAAAATAAATAGGGTTCCTCTGCTTATGACACTAATGATTCAAAAGAAAATTGAACGATAGCCACGCAAAGTATGGAGATACGAGCACGCAACATCTATGTCTCAACAGCAGATTATTCGAAAGGAAAATAAATTGGATAAGAATCTAGCATTCTTCAAGAAATCTAATCTCTCGTGTTCACGTGCTTGTTATATCTCTGGAACAGAAAACCTTATATTGCTGAAAATTAACAGGGGTTATCCTTGTCGCGGAACACTGGATATCGAAAATACGTTAAAAACAAGGTTTTCAAAGAATGGAGAGTAGAACTCCGGAACGGAAGATCGCTAACCATTGAATATCAATCAAGTTCATGACCCCAAAGCTTCACACAAAATTTTAAAAGTGAAGCCTCTATGGCTTGAACAAAGCTTCCGGGAAACGGGCGGGGAGGGGGTATATTAAGGAACAGAAGGTCACAGAATGCTGAATATCGATAGGGTTCGTCCTCTCATAGTCACATATTTTAAAGAAATACAAAGAGGGTAACTCTCGAACAGAAGTTTGCGGAGTACTGAAAATCGAAAGGTCCTAGTGCTTCACACCACATTTGAAAAACAAAATCAGTTAAACACTGTGGCCTCTATTGCGTTAGCAAGTTTTTCGTCCTCTCATCGTCACATATTTTAAAGAAATACAAAGAGGGTAACTCTCGAACAGAAGTTTGCGGAGTACTGAAAATCGAAAGGTCCTAGTGCTTCACACCACATTTGAAAAACAAAATCAGTTAAACACTGTGGCCTCTATTGCGTTAACAAGTTTTTCGGATAAGGGGAATCACTCCAGAACGATAAGGGGCGCTAGAAGCGACAGGGGCCGCCCTCTCATGGCCCCAGTGCTTTACACTAAATTTGAAACAAATCCGTTAAAAACTGTAGGCTCTATCGTGCTATTAAGGTTTTCGGGAAAGTGTGTGTGTGTGTTTTTGGGGGGGGGGAGGGGGGTCCGAAACGACAAGTTGTGGGGCGCTGAAAATACGTTAAAACTACGCGCACACATAAAAATACCCAAGAT